AATTACACAAGATCCACAAATTTTAAACTGGATATAATTTTGACCTTTAACATCTATGTGAGAGGCTAAATTTTCTTAATAGAAACCTGCCAACAATTGAGTGTACTCCTTTGAGGAAAGAGGGTAATTAATTACTACCATGGCCCAAAGATGTTATACATACATGTCATGTCCACTCAATTGAAGGATTGTTACTTTTAACATTACCTTGCTGTTAACTGTCCTGCTGAGCTGTGGAACTGCACAGTGACCTCAACTGTCATCCATCCCCAAACTGTGGAAGTAAACAAATAGAAGTTCAGTCTGTTGGTATTTGTCAATTTGTGACAAGGTATTTCAGTTAAGTATTTAAAAGAATTTAAACTTGCCCAAAAATAGCCACGCACCGCCATAATGGTTTTCTGTATCTTGTGCATACAAAAGTGCAGTGGGATGTGCATGCGTAATGGACACCCCACATGAGAAAACTAGTACAAGCCACCTTAAGTTGCTTTTGTTATTTTAAAGCAAAAATTAACCTAGTTTGTAGATTTGCAACTTGGTGAATGAAATAATTTGGTTATATATAACTATGAAACAGGCTTAGAATTTAAAGTTACTATGGTCATTCCTGTAACCATCCTGTGGCTCAAAGCAAAAAAAAAATATTTGGATCTTAAATAATGACAATTGTGTATAGGGGATTTGCCAGTCAATACTCATCTTGTGTTGTTTTCCTTCAGTTTAAAAACAAGTAAAATCAAATCAAATCACTGGTTTATTGTCCCTTTTGCGGTCAGAAGATTGAATTGTAGAGTATCTTACATTAAATGTCTCTTCAATTTTAAAGGAAAAAAAATTCAGGATTTGATCCCGGGACGTAAGGTCTGCTGTTAGCCCCAGTCCTCTACCCAAACCACTAAGTTATCGAGGATTAGCTACAGGACAATGGTTTGATTTAAAAAATATAGCCAAAACCCTAACCCTAAAATGATAGAAGCTAACCGTTACGAGTTAGTGCTTAACCCTGATCAGTATTGTCAGTGCTTAACCCTAATCACTCTAGTCAGTACTCACTCATATATATGAAATTACTCTGTGTACACTTCACAAAAATAAGGGATTGCCTGGTCTACTGTAGGTGGGTACTTAGAATTTGTCGATATAGAAAAGCCTTACGCTATTGAGGGGTAATTCACCAGATGACACTGACATGAAAATGGCCTTTGTATTTCTTGCAAAATTGACTCAAAATCCATTCCCCGATCAAAGCACTGCACGTGGCAATTCGAACAAGCTTATTTAACACGTAAAAATAACACTTTGATATCAAAGGGAAAAAGAAGAGAAACAAACAACAAACAAAAAATTTCGTTAATGACTTAATTCCCCCAAAAAACATTAAAAAATAGCTATACAAACCTTGGAAAATACGAAAACACAGCCGAATTTCCTTCCGAAGTACCACGCGCCATCTTTGAATGTTTTGTTTGTTCCCAGTAGCCGATATTAAAGCTCGGTCACCTAATATCGCGTGCTGACTAGGTCGAGGATTGGCAATTTTCTTTGTTTGTTTTTTCTTTTTTGCGTTTTTATGGACCTTGACTTTGTGATTATGGATAACCCAAACCAAACTGACGTTTTTTAATCAGATCCAAAGAAACCACATCACATCAATGCCCACTATAACTGAAGAAAGTTGAAATCTACACATATAGCAGGAGAGCCGAACTTTCTATCCACCCCTACCCCAACCTCGTCCCCAGGGCTTTTCCCTCAAAAAATGGGTGGGGCGGGAAAAGGCCCTGGCATCGGCTGGTCACGTGTCTCCTCGTACACCCTAAAATCCTGGGTGTAATAAATTAGCGCCATGTGAAAAGCTAAAATTATGCGTAACCTCACAGCGCGCGATCTTGGGCGACCTTTTATATCTCTTGACGATTAACGAAAATTTTTACAAGGTTTTTTGTCACAGATACTGGCTATGGTAATTTTTTGCTTCCTCCTATTTCTATGAAGGGGACAGCGAGTAACATTTGTAAAACTTCTGTTCAGTAGAGCGGTATAAATGACAAACAAGCTATCGTACGTGCATAAAAATTGTACTGGAAAAGCCGCTTTCTCGACTCTTCTGATTTTTTATTTCATTTCTTGCGAAGTGGGCCGCCGTACACAGCCTAGTTCTATTCACCTTAACTCTCAGCCATATCATAGCGACACGCGTTGGTTTAGACTTATCCTGTATGAACTGTATTTTTAAAAAATTCATTGACCGCTGCAATCAAACGACTGGCAACAACAAAAAAAAAACTTGGGTCTATTTAAAATTGACAGAGCTGTAGTTGATTCCAATCGATCAGTCAATCTTCCCTTTGATATAAGAAAAATCCTTTGCACTTATCCTCGGAAGAGAAAAGATATAAGAGTCCTTCAAATGATTCAGATCGGCGACCTGTCATCGTTCCTGGCTGGAAGGCTGACTTGCATCCGGCGCGGAGATTTGTTTGTTTCTTGGTCGGGTTGTCGAGAAGACCAGACTTCATAAAACATTTTGATGAACAATTCTAAATTCACTGCAGATCCTGAAGGCAAAGGCCCGCATTTTTGCTTGACATTTGACTAAATCACTTCCCGCTTGATCGTTCAGTAATTCCACCGTCAACAGTGGCACATATAACAGCTTGTCTCAACGCTGAGGCATTTGACATATTTTGTACGTGACAACGTAGCGCCGGTCTGCCCTTTCATAAACTTCTAGCATTTGAATAATGCGCAATTAAATGGATCTTAAGCTTTTGAATCGCACACACGCGAAAATATTGACATAGTTCGCGATGTTATTATTTTCCATTGTTGCTCCGTTCTGTCAGCGCAAAACCAGCGGGTTGCATATAAATTAGCTTCTCAGGAATATTTAGGCTGTACACGTGACCAGCCGATGCCAGGGCCTTTTCCCGTCCCACCCATTTTTTGAGGGAAAAGCCCTGGGGACGAGGTTGCCCCTACCCCCCAATGGCGAATCCAGATTTTCAAGATAACGGGGAGAGGCGGTCATCCACACCCTGAGATGGGGGGTGGGGGTTGGGCTGGTCTCCAAAATAAGCTTTTTCCGCCCTTCGGGCCTCAGTTTGGTATAAAAATAAGGGGACCGGGGGACCCGGCCCCCCGTGCCCCTCCCCTGGATCTGCCGCTGCCCCCAACCCGTTGATGAGCTACTTTGATATTTCATGTAACCCTAAAAAAAATGCGAAATTTCCCCCCGCCCCGCCCCGCCCCCCAACCCCCTCCAAAAAAGAACGTTTCCGGTATGTCCAATAACCTTAGGAATTTTTTTCTCCCCTGCTAACCTGATCTTCAGTCCTACGACTTTCACATATATTTTGTTTTCTACCGAGCGCTTCCTCTTCAATTGTTCATTCTCAATTTGGCTTTTATGTTACTAATATTTCACCAATAGTATTGCTTCACCACCTTTTTCGCGTTGCATAAACGAGACATATTCTGCAAACCTTCCGACCAAGAGTACTCGCTTGTTTCGGTTTAATTCGACAAATAAGTATTAGAAACAAAATTTGGCAAGTTATTGTTTGTGAACTTGAAAATAACTGGTACCCAGGATGAAACGCTTTAGAAACAAATATTAACCGCACTCCTAAACGATTTGCCGTTTTATTGNATCCACACCCTGAGATGGGGGGTGGGGGTTGGGCTGGTCTCCAAAATAAGCTTTTTCCGCCCTTCGGGCCTCAGTTTGGTATAAAAATAAGGGGACCGGGGGACCCGGCCCCCCGTGCCCCTCCCCTGGATCTGCCGCTGCCCCCAACCCGTTGATGAGCTACTTTGATATTTCATGTAACCCTAAAAAAAATGCGAAATTTCCCCCCGCCCCGCCCCGCCCCCCAACCCCCTCCAAAAAAGAACGTTTCCGGTATGTCCAATAACCTTAGGAATTTTTTTCTCCCCTGCTAACCTGATCTTCAGTCCTACGACTTTCACATATATTTTGTTTTCTACCGAGCGCTTCCTCTTCAATTGTTCATTCTCAATTTGGCTTTTATGTTACTAATATTTCACCAATAGTATTGCTTCACCACCTTTTTCGCGTTGCATAAACGAGACATATTCTGCAAACCTTCCGACCAAGAGTACTCGCTTGTTTCGGTTTAATTCGACAAATAAGTATTAGAAACAAAATTTGGCAAGTTATTGTTTGTGAACTTGAAAATAACTGGTACCCAGGATGAAACGCTTTAGAAACAAATATTAACCGCACTCCTAAACGATTTGCCGTTTTATTGAAACCTGTAAATAATTTATCATCAATTCAAACAAAAACGAAATATCACTTAAAAGGATCCTGAATTTTCTGTCAATTTTAAAACCAAATTTGATTCATAGCTGACAACTGAAATTGACTTTAGGGCAAACAAGTGCCAAAAATATGTAGCGTAAAATTGAGGAAAATCACTTAAGATATCAATTTCATGGACAGTACATTGTTTGAGCAACCCAAGAGTTTCTTTTTTTGAAAAAAGAGGAAGATCAATTGGTATGACTTTTGACGACACCACTTATTCTGAATGCAAATTAACGGAATCGCCTATGGTGATAATCGATCAAGTAAAAATGAAGAAAATTTTGGAAGCGAAATTTAAGTTTCGCTTGTCAGTTTTTTTAATGTTTGCTTACATCTAAAAAGAATTTTTTTGACGTGTCAGAATTTACACTCTTTTTATGAACAGTCATAAAATAGTCAATACGGAAAGTAAATCATTTGAGTATATTTGCATTTCTTCGATGCAGCATCAAATTCGAAGTCTGACTGAGTGTTAACTATAAAAACGATTTCGGCTTTCCTTAAGGCAAACAAATAAATGGAAACAAATGAATGAGTCGAGAGCTTTATCGCTTTGGCAATTTAAATCGAGGCATCAAACTTCTAAGAGTCATAATAAATGACAACAAGAAAATCCCCCCACATTGGATGGCGTCATGAATATTTAATTTTTATAAAAGTAGCAGATGTCTGCAGTTAGTTGGCGTTGATCGGTGAATTTCGCAGAAACAACATGTCGGAGCTAGTGACTTCAGTTTAGTAGCACTTACAAGGGAATTCAAGACTGGAATGAATATTATTTTCTCGTAGCATAGCCTGGTATTTCAATCAAGGACACGACAATGATCTCCATGGCAGCAAATGCCTTCGAAGGCTTCGACCAAACGACACAGAAAAGAAGTTTAATCGGTAGACGGGTAAGACTTTGACAAGATATCCTGTTATTTAAAATCTAGTTTTTAAATATAAGAGTTGTCACGGATAATAAACAAATCGCAAGTTCTAGAACATTTCGTTTATGCGAAAGGAGTGAAAAAAAAAACAGTACTAAAGTATGAGACCGATTACGCAGGATTTACAAAAATCGTCGACGTATTGACTTCGAATAAAAAGCCGCTAAATTCACTTCATTTGAATGTCACCCACCGTGCCAAAATGCTCTAGTGAAAATCAAAATATAAAACAGAACCACAAGCCGGAACTGATTCTACAGCAAATAAACCTAACTTCAGGTGCATCTATTCTGTGAAAACGAAAAAGCAAAACGAACCTTATTTACTGCACTGTCAAAAATCTTCGAAAATCAGTTCACTTTTTTTTTATTTCGAATGCTGAAATGACATTGAGATCTGGAAAGCAAATGTAGTAATGAGAGTTCTATTTCTAAAAATATGCCGAACCCAATTTACGGTTAAGAATATTTACTCCTAATTTGTTTTCTGGAAAGCGCTACTTTCGCTTGCTTCAATATATGTAACTTTTAAGAAGTACTAAGGTATCGCGATTTCAGTTTATAACTTGTTTCGTTAAAAATGGCTTTTGCAAGTGAAAAAAAAAACATTTTTTCCGAAATAAAATTCACCATATATAGAGAACAATATCTGCAAGACTTTGAGGCAAAATAAGTTTCGTTGCATTATTTCAGTAACGGGAACACGGACAACAAATGTGGACGTTATAGCCATTTAATAAAATGCTTGTTTGCACGATTGAACATTGTTATGAATCTGAATATCAGAATGTTTTCACCTTCTATCTATAACAAAGCAACAACTTCATATATCGACTATTGACTCGCTGCAAATTTTTTCACCGGTCTAATTCGTTATTTATCCCCCCAAAAAGCCGTATTTTAATTTTTTTGTGTGAAAAGGTGGCCTTTCGTCTCCTTGAACAATGACGGATCTAATGAACTCAAAATGGACAGTGAAATTTGGCGAGAATTTGTTTACAAAATTTGGCTTTTAGATAAGTCATTGTGGTTAGCTTGATCCAGTTTACATATTGCGTAATTAAAAAGCTATATTTTAAAAGCTGCACCTAAAGAAGTTTACAGAATTTAACCGTTTGTGTTGTTTGATATCAAGTTTCCTTTACTAGAATATGTAATACAAGAAAAAAAACGAAAACAAAAACGTCAGGCGTGTTCATAATTTTGCGAAGTGTAAAAATGATTACCATACTCGGTTTCGATTAGGAAAAATTCCGATTTCAGCTGTGCTTGCCGTTCCTATTGGCAACAAAAAAATAGTTTGATTTGCCACCGAATACAGGCGTGTTCATAATTTTGCGAAGTGTAAAAATGATTACCATACTCGGTTTCGATTAGGAAAAATTCCGATTTCAGCTGTGCTTGCCGTTCCTATTGGCAACAAAAAAATAGTTTGATTTGCCACCGAATCAGGCCCAGCTGGGAGCGTTACAAATTACTAAGCAAGAAAGAAAACAATTTCTTCGAATTTGCATTTATTAGCCAATCGAGGGGTAAATTGGTGAAGTCTAAGAGAAAACGCAATGAGGCTTTGTTCATAAGAATTGCAGGTGTTTCGCGCGAATAATGTTCTTTCAGAGCCGACTAACGAACAAAGTGCCGCTTCTTTTAAATAACTCGATCTGTAAGACCTAGTCAATAACTCTACTAACTTGTTTAAAGGTTTTAATGGATGGGAAAGGACCGAAGAATGAAAATTTAAGTTAACTTTGCTAGGCTAAGCCAAAGGGGGTCTTGTATCGAAAACAAGCTATTTTTAAAAGGAAGTGAGGAAAGCAATGTACATTGCAACTTGCTTGTTGATTTAATCATGAAAGACTGTAATTCTTTTCAGTATACAAGGAAAAAAACACTTTCTGAAGGAAAAAATGTACAGGTTTTTTTCTTTTGAGAGATTAGAGGTCTCTCTTTTGGTGTGATTTGCTTTGTGTTATAGTTACGAACCATCCATCATGCTTACGTCACAAAAACAGAAAAGCAAATTAGAGCAGCTAAACCTTCTGTGGCAAATTAGTACGTTTCTTATGAATTTTCATGAGACGAAATCGACTAAACTTAATCACATTTCGAAGATCAAGTAGCCATGAGCGACGAGGAATTCCGAGCTCTTGCCAGACACAGACATCAGGTTAGTTTCCTACTGATTTCTGGCAAGATTAAAAAGATCTTAAGAAAATCTGTTCGAGCATCACTATGTCAAATTTGTTTTCTGGGAACTGAAACAAAGCCTTTGGTATCCAGCGGTTTTAGAACACATTCTTGGCCTTCACAGTAGAAGCGTGTTAAAGTCAATTCTATCTTTTCTCAGAAACATTATATTACATTTACATTACTCTTATGATAAGAAAGTTGATAAGGGTTCCTGGTTACTGTATTTCTTCAGATCGTTTATCGCGAAATGTTAGATTCACTTTCCCTGAATTAAATGAAGTTTATTTAAAGATATTTCAAGGAAGGTTTTGTAGATTTCATTTGATCTCTTAAGGCACTGTCGTCGCCCAGCTTTAAATATAATTTAATTTAGCTTCAGACAAGACAGGTCTCTTTGAAACAGTGATTTACTATCTTAATACTTACATTCAATTTAAGAATGATAATTCGGCTATTCTTACTCAATCACCAACAACTTCCAGATCGTCATTAAGGCATTCATCTTATTCTATTTTGATTTTTTAAAATAAAATTTCGACGTACAGCTCAGTAAAATCGATAAATACCACCTTAGGGTATTTCACTACAGACGACGCATTCAAAAGACATATGTAATACGTTGCAAATGTGATTCAGATCTGTAATCAAATTTTGGCGATTGTCATGTGGAAAATACTCACGCTTTTTTCTTCCTGTTGTTGCTGTTCTAATAACACCCGCTTCGTTTTTCCTGACAAATTTTGCTCAATGAAGAAGCTATTGCGCGAGAAAAAAAAACGTTTAAATAATTTACCGCGAGCTAAAAAATAATATTTGTGATGTTTAGTGGGTGTACACAGACAAAAAAAAAAACGATTTGAAAAGCTCAGAAAAATTGCAACGTATAATTACAATAGTTTCAGTCTTTCTGTTGTCCTGACTATGGTGGGTTATATTCGTTTTCAAACATTTCGTTAAGTCTTATTTGTACTTCAATAATTTCGCAACAGTAACTAGAAACTAGTCTTGAGCGGTCAGAAGGAACTTAAGTATCTAACAACGGATTTACATATAGTATGCTCAAGGCAAAATTATGAAACAATTTTTTGCTATTTTTATCCAAAAATTGTCATTGCAATTTGTCGAAACACAGATAAACTCAATTAATAAAGTTAACTTAGGCACGGAGTACGTGCTTCGACTGAAGAACGTAATTGAAGGAAGGTTAGCGTGGGTGACCGAATCTCTTGTTTGTAACCACGTGCATAGATGTGTATCTTAGTTTTGAAATCGCCTATAACCTTGTAAGGCATAACAACTCAGCCAAGGCCAAGTTTACAGAATAAATAACGTGTGCATAAGTTTACATACAAATGTACTGCAGATACAATGCTTCCGGGACTGGCTTCAGCGACAGCTACATAACCAACATGTCTTGCTGTAAGGACTATCGCCTTAGGGGGAATATTAAGGGAGAGTACATTCATATGGATAATCTGTACAGAAATGTTCCGCCCTATAGGGTACGTGTCTTGACCTAGATATCATACGTAGGGAACGTAGTTTAACTGTACACCCATGATAAGTGGATGTCATGCCACTGTTGGAAGATCTATTTTTCCAGAAATCTTCTGTATAGTCGAATCTCGCGATTGGTGAAGTTTTTTTTACCGAATTTCTGCACTTAGTAGTCTTAATTTTATCTAGAGGGTCGATAATTCCACTATTAAACACTGAAGAATTAAAAATAATTTTATGGGCAGTGTCACAGAAAGGAGCTAAAAAACCTTAAGTTCAATTTTGATTATTAGTTTTAGCGTCTTTTTTCGTATTTCAAAAGATTGAAATCTTATATCTTTGATTAATACTTCGTGTTATCCACAGACTACCATTTCATCGACCTCTCTCTGATAATATTTTGACACTAAAATGTAAGTTGCAAATTTATCTCTGGAAAAGTTACTAGAACTTCTATTTTGTCTAAAAATAATGTTGACCTTGTGATTCACAGCATCGGAACATTGCATTAGACTATTTTAATATTCTACAATTTACAGCATATTTGAAAACACATTTTTCTTTCACTTATTTTTATATACACATATCTTTCCGCTACAGTTATTTTTCTGCTGGTATAAATATGTTTTAAGCATTGAAATTGAATACAGTTACAAACGAGAACATACGTCTTGAAATTAAGTAAATTAATTAACCTTGTAAATGCGCGGGAATTTTTTCAGATCACGATACCTCCCCCTCACGAAAACTTTTTGCCGATCTTCTCCGAAGATAATCGAAGGCTTTTTCGGACCACTGTCGCGAAGAACGAATATACTTCAGATTCTAGGGTAGTAGATCATAAAAAAGTTGAACGAATTGCTAGCTGATATATCGTCCATCGTTTCTTGGTCGGTTTTCTTATTCTTCATTCCCACAAAGATACAACAATTTTTCATAATTATGAAAGCTAATGTTCTGTCAGGAATGCATAAAATTATCGGCATCGCTAATGTTAGACCCAAAGCCTTCTTCTCCAGGAACTACAAGTATTCAAAGGTAATTTCCACTGTTTTAGATAGATTTTAAAAATAGCATGAAGTTCACTTTTTTACCGAGTCTTAAATTTTTGCTTTACACAAGCTTCGACGTATTTACTTTGGAGACAATCTTAAGACACGTAACCAACGTTCTCCATTTTTCTTGCGCAAAAAGTTGTTAGCTCTATTTCGAAGTTCCTATATTTATGTTATTGTAAGAGGAATTCCTGACCACTAACATGTCTTATGTTCATAAATGCTCCTTGAATAACACAAACATTCTTGCTTTGGCGCGATTTAGAACGTTCTAGGAATATGTTTGCAAAATCATTTAATTACATTTGAACAGTAAATATTTTGTCAACAATTTAACCGCGTAACCATTCACAAATTTTTGCAGTCCTCAACTTCATTTTAAATAGACATGTTACGTTTTGCAGATCAAATGAAATATGAAAAACTCAATTAACTGACCATCACATTCAAAACACACTTCGGTTTGCTTTTGTCTGGAAAGATAATTAATGGCAATTTAGGGAAGTGAAAGATGTTTTTCTAATATAACAACTGGAAGTTTGGGAAGGATCGTCCTGCTGACTGAAAAGGATTTTACCTATTTTTTTAGTAAGACAATTTTAAGTTTCTTACATTTTATGGAGAATAGAGCAAATCTCAAAACTACTAAGTACATAGAGGAAATTCGAAACGAAAACTTTCGCTGCCCACGCTGTCAATTAAAAATTAATGTTCCATTTGTACTTTGGGTGCTAAATTTATGAATCTCTAGCAGTTCCAAATAGATTTATGTGGCCAGCTTTTAGCCGAGAAAAGTGTAAAACTTGTAAGGGTCGGAATGATGTAATTCAATTTTCTATTTCAAAATGCATGGTATGGTGTTGACCTGTAAATAAATCGCGAAACAGCGGCCTGATTGAAGAACGAAAGTATAAAGAAAATTTTCGGGTAAGCATTTCTTTGGGTGTTTTGTTATGGAAATCTTTCTAATTTGCACGTACAGATCTTAATAACGCGAGTATCAACCTTTTCTTCATGCGTAGGAAAGTACACTGCATTACCTCGTTCCCAGGCCTTCTGCGTATTTTAAAACAGCGTGCAGTAGGAGCCCAGAAATCCCTGGGAAGAATGGAGAAATATCTTGTCTCATGACACAAAGAGACTGTGGGCATTTTCCATTGACCCTATCCCAATATAAGAATAACTGGAATAAACTATAGAAATGACTTGTTTTAGAATCTATTCAATTGTAATGTCTGGAAATCTCCTTGAAATGAGGTCCAAAAATCATGGTAGAATAAATTTGTAACAAATTAACTTTTGTGTATTCTAGTTGCGGAACACTATCAATCGAATCCACCTTGTGTAGGCGTGCTTGTCTTTTATAATAAAAACACTGATTCCATGATGTGCCATAAGGCTCATATAGTAATCGGCTGCCTTGTTCTTGTGCTGGCTTTTGAACACTTAAACTGGAAAAGAGATTATTTTTATAAATGCATCAAGTCAAGGTCCTCAAGTTCTCAAGAAAGACAATAAAATCACACTATCTTGGAACGTTTGGCAAAGTAAATTATCTGTTCAACCGAAGTGCCAGTGGATACCTTGAGAAACATAATAACCAAGTGTCAGAATGTATGATCGCAGATAAATGGGGCAAGTTTTTAGTTTTAATCTGGAGTTAACGAAATAAAATACCGCCTCATTTTTCGTCGCTTTCTTGAAAACATATACTGCAGCTATCTGCCAGGTTTGAGTCCAGCTAACATTTGAATTGTACCAAAAATCATCATTCACTTGTAAAGTTTAATATTTCATGTCATTTACAAAATTTGAAGAACTCCTTGAAATCAAGACCAATCAGTTTACTGAGCAATTAAAATATTTAGACCTAAAATATTACTCGCAACTTAGCTGACAGAGTAACTGACGATATGCAAAGCCATCAAATCTTTAGTTTTGCGAATGAGTTTCTAAAAACTCTCTCCAATTCCACGCATGTTTGGAGAATTTGTACTTCAAATATTTTGGGAAAATATACTCCAAGATTAGTGGATTATCTCTTTGTTAACAGTCAGAGCTATTGTTACTTCAAACCGTTTAATTATTCAAAAGAAGTTATCTTGTAAAACGAACAAGATTTCTAAGACAGTATATTGATGGAAGATTTAATAATCCCCAAGCGTGTTTTAGACAAGAAAAGACTAAAAGAAGAAACAATATCCTTTGTATCTGCAGATTTTTTTCCAACAAAGCTCAAACTAAAAAGGTTGGATCATCTATTTTTACTCTTTCAAACTGCGACCCAATGAAAAGGTGCCCGGTTTTAATTTTAGTAATTGCATTTTGACGCTTCTTCTACGGAGAAGCCATTAACTAAGTCTGAAGAGCATTCTTTCTCCATTGGTCGACAGACGAGTTAAATTGCTCTTGACTTTTTCGCAATTTTAATTCAATTAAACACATAGTCCATTTATTTCAGTAAACTGATGTTTTTTCTACGAGTTTTTTACGAGGAAAACATGCATGAATTAGACATCATTGACAAACTTAGTCTGCTCGATGTTAAGAATGAGTATAATGCGTGCCTCGTGTCTTCCCCTGAGGAAAAGATCTTTTAACTTCTCAACCAGCCGAATTTTTTCGCGATGCGAAAATGAAAAAGGTGAGAGCAGAATCGCTCTACAGCATCTAGGAGAAAGCTTTTCCGAACCTTTGTTAGCGCGCGGACAATCTGTTGGAACGTACTGGGTAGGTTTCATCCAACTTGACTTACTTATCACAATCTATGTTTAGTTATCAGCCTGTAGTTTCAGTAACCTGGGGATTTGAAGTTTTATAGCACGCGTTTTAAACTGGATAGTTTCTATCATGTATCAATATACAGAGGATTTGTCTAAGATCTAGGCTTGTCTTTCATATACTTAATTTATATTTTGCCCAGCTAAGGAGAAAACCGGCTATAGTTTCATCTAACTTTTTGCCTGCCTTCCAGGTAATGCTGTATAAAATTTCTTGTTAAGAGAATTTTTTGGTATGTGAAACATTTGTTCCTAAACGGTACTCAAAAGTACAAACATGCACGGATTTTTCCGTGATTAAACTTTCATGATTTTTTCCTCGATTTGTATATGACATTTTTCCAGCCGGTATTGTATATCTGTCCACTGATTTTCATTGATTTGTCAATAATCAAAGGCCTAGGAAAGGTTGTCATATTGGTAGTTTATGCAATTTGACAAATTGAACACAACTGGAATATAAACGTTTTTAGATAAAGCCAAAATCCATATAAGTTATTTGCCTCTCGATCGATCGATCTCTTGCCAGAACTGAGAATGTTTTCGATGACCTCAATCGAATTAGCAGCCTAAAATCCTTCTAAACACTTCGACTGAATGGTTGTCATCTGAAGCCCTGTTTATTTGGAGAAACTTGTGTCAGGTAGAAGAGGTCACTCGCCTAACCGAGCTACCCTGGGAGAAACAGAAAAATTGGCTCGGCTAGAAGGATTAACCGCCTAGAAATTAGCTGAGCCACCCTTTTTTCGATGATAGGGTGATGACCCTCCTAACCTAGCCTGCGTACAGACGTCCCTATCCCTCAGGAAAAAGAGGAGGGAGACGTCTGTACACAGGCTATCCTAACCAAGCAATCTTTTCTCTATATAAACATGGCTCGCACAGCCGCGTCAACTCGGTCAAGGCGAGATAGTAGGAACTTAAGCAAAAACGTCTTCAAGCGTCGCACGTAAACCGGAAGTGAAGCCTATGCCCTTCTTATATGCCTTGACACTAACACATTTGTATTGCTAAGTTTCTTTTCTCTTATAAAGAGGATTTACCCGAGAATTTCAACCAAACCTCTGTCCAGTGATGAAAAAGGCCACTTCCGGTTGACGTCCGTCGCTCAAAAACGCTGTAGCTGAATCAGAGCATGCGCGAGCGCTGTTATCAGCTCTTGGTTCGAGCTAAGGAGTGAGTCAACTTTTTTCTCATGTAAACGCTTGCTATTAAATTGAGGAGGGTGACCCTCTTTCCCGGGTCAACTTTTCTCGTTAAAGCAGGGCCTGGAAGTCCCAGTCTGTTGCGCTGCTGTTGCGACACTGAATGAAGACACACTGACACTCGTGTCAGCGTGTGTGTTTCGTTATTTCCGTGTTTTTTAATTTGTCTCTCTTGTGTCATAGGGGTCGATGAGTTCATCGAGCGAGATATCTTTTCCGCCGTATGAAGTCGTGCCGGCCACTCGACCTATTATTGTGATAGGTCCTTCACTTAGAGGATACGAGGTAAGTGAAAACTAAAAAGCAAAAGCGTTTCCGTTTACGTAGAGAAGTTAGTGGAAATTCGGTGAGCGATAAGTATGCCTCGAGTACCATTTTTTTCCTTGCAAATAAGCAAACAAACAACCGATGAACAAATGCACAGGCCAAGGCCCAATGATTGCTTTCCTTCTGGAGATTTAAAAATCTGTATTAGGCTAAATAGAGTGCTTCTAAAGCCCTGCACAACAAACTGCAAAATACCTAATTTAACGTAACCCAGAGTCCTGAAAGTTGTGGGGAAAGATAGTAGGAAACTTCCAAAAATCTCAGATAGATTGGGAACAGTCAGCTTGCAATCTTAAGCCTTTCTCGAGCTTTTCTGGTGTTAATGCTATAGCAAATGGCCACTCTAAAAGTTTGCGCTTTTGATAAACTAAAACTAACATTTTTTTGTTATTTGCTTCGACTTTCCCAGGTTACTGACCTCATGCACAGAGCGCTGTATAACTTTTTAAAGAAGAGATTTAGTGGAAAGTAAGTTCCTTTGTTGTAGTCTTGCTGTTCAGTTGGCAGGACATTTATTCTACTGAATACAGGGTACATTAGGGACGAAACAATAGTTTGCTATATGATCATTACTTTTAAAATGTCTCGACATCATGTTGAGATTCAAAGCCTAATTGCTCAAAAATTTAAGGTGGCTCTGCACCCCTCCACCCTCCGAAGAAACTCACAAAACTGTGAACACTTGAAATATATCAGGACTGTCTATTACTATGGCCAATCACAGCATAATCAGGACACGCGACTTACCCATAATTGTCCGCTATATATCTTACTCACTTTGGTGTAGTTTAGCGTACTTGCTTTAATTTCTTGTACATGTAGCTGGTTTAGTTTTGATGGTCTGTGTGTAGTTCGCAGTTACACCGAATAGTGGATCTCTTCATAAATACATACTAAAACTACACCAAACTACATCAACTAGTAAAGAGCAACTAAACTAAACTACAGCAACTACACTAACGCAATAACTAACTTTTTATACTTACTACACTATTTAACAGATAGAGATAATAATTGATTGGACTTTCTTTTTGTGACGGTCGTCGTGAAGGTATTTAGGGGTTTTAAGATCCGAGGATAGCGACTGGCAGTGAAATCGTCGCTTAAAAAGTGAATTAGCGTTCTTTCAATCTTCATTGCGATTATTCCAACCCACGTTCTTTATCAAATGTAGCTGAACTTCCCTGAAGTTCAGTTCCTAAGAACCGATATCCAATTTCAGAAAGAGAAAGAAGATTTTGTCGAGGCTTGTTTGCGTCCACCATAAAACGTGAAATTAGGCATCTGTGTTTACGTTGTATCGCCGTGTGCAAACGGACGCAACATTGNAATTAGCGTTCTTTCAATCTTCATTGCGATTATTCCAACCCACGTTCTTTATCAAATGTAGCTGAACTTCCCTGAAGTTCAGTTCCTAAGAACCGATATCCAATTTCAGAAAGAGAAAGAAGATTTTGTCGAGGCTTGTTTGCGTCCACCATAAAACGTGAAATTAGGCATCTGTGTTTACGTTGTATCGCCGTGTGCAAACGGACGCAACATTGTTGGCCAACAACTCCCAATATTGTTGGATGGTAAATGTTGCGTACGTTTGCATACCCTGTTTCATGTCACTGCCTGTTGTTTGGAGTTGTTGCGCAAAGTTTGAAACCGGTCAAACTTTTAGCAATGTGCTAACGGAATCAACAACTCCCAACAATGTTGGGAGTTGTTGGTCAAAAATGTTGCGTCCGTTTCCACGAAGCTGTAGTCGTGAGGTTACGGCAAAGAAATGAACAAAAGTAAAAAACGTGCTGCAGGCGCAGCCTATTGATTTTGTGACGTTCTCGTTGCCGTCGACGTTGTTGGCAGCACTTTCGTTGATGCTTTCATTTACGGAGAGTTTTGGGGAAACAGGTTGAAAAGGATTAATCAAGTACTAACATATTTTGATAGGATCCAAGTGTACAGAACACATGCGGATATTGGCCTATCCAAACGATCAAAAAACAATCCCTCAGAAAAAGAAAGATTTAACATCGCAAAGACTGGAGGGCCCCGAATGACAGGTGAGAAATGTAGACTGGCTATTAAACAAGGAAGAACTGCCATTTAAAGCCTCAGTGAGACAGATAAAAACCTCAATTGCAGAAATTACCCGTGCAAGGTAGTTTGCGTTCCTCAATGGCTAGCCTGGTGCTATCAATTTCTCCTGAGTAGCTGAAAATGTTTTTATGACATTCTTGAGAGGTAGAGGAATTTTGAGTGAAGGGTTTACTTTCTAAGGAAACTTTTACGATAGCAACCGTAGGAGGATTGAGAAGCTGACGTCTCGGACGCTCAGTCCTCAGATAGCCTGTGTACAGCCGCCGCCCCCCTTGTAAACAGGTTACTCAAAACGTAACCTTCTCGATCGCCAGTCTATTTTATGAACTCATTTGATGAAACCACATAAAAGGAATGGTGATTGTTCAGGTCGCGTAGACAGTTACTGAAGATACTGAACACAATGGTCACTAAATGACATGATGTAAAAGATTAATTAAAGATTAATCATTCTCTAAAACACATAGCTGAAGTGCAAAAAGAGGTAGAGCGGATCTATGAACTGACCAAAAGTTTGAACATGGTGGTCATCGATTGTGACGTCATCAACCATCCCTCTCAGCTGACCGACTGCTCGCTGGCGCCAATATCGATCTACATCAAAATGGAGCCACAAATTCTGGAAAAGCTCGTCAAATTACGTGGATCCAAAAGGAAAAACCTAGGAGCTCAAGTGGTAGCCGCTCAAAAGCTTGCGCAGTGCAACGAGGTCAGTAACTCATTAAAACTGTACATATAACGAAATTCGTTCGTCACACAACGCTACATGTTCGTGACACAACGCTTCATGTTCGTAACACAACGCTATATGTTCGTAACACAACGCTACATGTTCGTCACACAACGCTATATGTTCGTAACACAACGCTACATGTTCGCCACACAACGCTACATGTTCGTCACACAACGCTACATGTTCGTCACACAACGCTACAGGTTCGTTACACAACGCTACATTTTCGTAACACAACACCACATGTTTGTGACACAACGCTTCATGTTCGTAAAACAACGCTATATGTTCGTAACAGAACGCTACATGTTCGTCACTCAACGCTACATGTTCGTCACACAACGCTATATCTCACGCTATGTTCACACTGTACCGGACAGCTTTGCGTGCCGACATGTACAACTATCCGGTGTAGTATGAACACCTATCCGCTATGTGACTCTCCACTTAAGAGATTGGTGCGGCGCAGCTTTACTCTGTTACAGATATCGCCCCGAAAACACAGTTGTATGTGTGAACAGAGGCCCTATCCGATAATATCCGATATGGTTTTCGTGCCGGTGCGAAAGCCATCAGGAATAGAGTGAACATTACCTGAAATACCTTGGAAAGGAGCCTGGTGTGACAACCCAAAGAAAAGGAGTGCGTCAGTAGAGACTCGGGTTTTTTGTCCGTATGAGAAAACCGTTGGCAACTTGATCAAGTTGCCAAACAGGTCTCTAGTGAATTTTCCTATAACTAGTGTTATGTTCAATCTTCTGTTTAACACAGGAAATGTTTGACTTGGTTCTTGATGAAGCCATTTTTGAAGACGCTTGTGAGCATCTCGGGGAGTTTCTTGACCAGTACTGGAGAGACCTGCACCCGAGTGACAAAGAAGATGGTGCTTTACCTCTAACGGAAAAGACGCCTTTGCTTCAAGGAGTTTCTAACGTCCCAGGAACGAAGGTAACCAGGGGTGTTTACCATTTTCACAAACCACCCGGGTGGAAATCTTGTGCATAAAAATAAATCTATGAAATTTGGTGGAGAACGACCCGCTACAACGTATGCGCAAATTAGCTGAACAGGCTAAAAAGAACAGAAAAATTGCATCGCCTTAAATCACAGACTATATTTTCTGAAGCTCCCAAACAGAATGGCGCCTATCATTGATTTTCCATCCGGAATTTCCGGTTTTCCCGTTTAAATTGTAAGTACTACATTTTTGTTAAGGCTGAGATTGGCCAAATCTAAGTCAAAAGGTGTTAAGTCCCAGGCTGAATCCATTTCATATCATTTCTGAGAGCTTTCCAACTTGACACAACGAAAAAAGGTACGGTTACGTATTAAGGTACATGTCATTTAAAGTGACTGCAAAACAGATTTTACTTTCTTTGAGCAAACATATTTTTAATGTTACCATTTCTTTTTAATTATTGCTACGATGATGATATTAATCAAATGCAAAATCATTCATGAAAGAGGTATGGTAATTCGCATGACGTAATACCGGCAGTTTCTATAGCGACAGCTTAAACCGCTTAATTTTTATCTTGACAGTTTTCAATTCAATAACAAGTTCGGTGGCCCCTCTTCATATTGTGGAATCCAGTCTCGACATCAAGTTGAGATTCAGATTTAGGTCGAGATTTAGCGCCACCTTAAATGCTCGACAATTTGAGGTGACTGTACACTCCTCCAAATAATTATTTTAAACTTTGTAAAGAGTTAAAATCTTGAGCTGTTATTCGAATAATAGGTTCCACGGAGAGTTCGCGTGAGAAAGAAAAATCATTTACCCTTGCCCTGGCGGTCAAGAAATCCCGCGCGGTTTATATTTTAGCACGCGCGCTCGACGGACTTTGAAGAGAAAATAGAGGGTCGGTGAACAGGCTACAAAATTGTACTGTAATATGGAATCCTAATTCGTTTGTGAGTGGCCATACGTTCTTTATCAGTAAGTAGATTTATCGTAGCAACAATTGATACAGGGTGGTGATATTGATTCATCAGAAAGAATAAGTGCTAAAACAGGAGGAAGCTGCGAGCCAGCCTAAAACATCTCTTGTAATTCAGTTAAATTTGATTAAATGACAGGTTCCAACGACGAGTTTGACACAGAAAACACAGAACCAACAAGGCGCACAAGGATCGTCTGAGGTTCAAGACTCGGTTGGATCACGTAGGAAGATGGCGGTAACTGGGGCTGCACCTGACTTCGGCAAAAAGTTGCACGAAGCTTTCCAAAGTACTCAAACGACGAAACCAAAAACGTACCAAGGCGATACTGGCTACCAAGCAGCTTATAGCTCGGAGATGCAGCAATATGACCAACAGCAGCAGCAGCAACAACAGTACTACCCTCAAGAGGAATATTATGATCCGGGACAAAATTACGGGGCTGAAATGTATGGGCACCAGCAGGGTTACTCCAGTGAGTCCTATCGCCAGCAAGGATACAACCAACAGTATAGTCAGGACAGCCAATATGATTACGGACAGTATGGGCAGGACCTTAATCAGGGTTACTCCCACGGGTACACGAATGAACACCAGTACCCCGACCCTTACTATGATCATGATTCAAGCATGGGATATCAGCAGTACGGTAATGAGATGGAGAGTGGATATCAACAGGGCCATGATTGGTACGGGGACACCGGCAACTATTACGGCGGAGGTGGCTACTATCACTGAATAAGTAGGACACAGGGAATAATTATTTGGAACAATTTACAATTGATAGCAATTATTTTTTTGTTAAATTTCATAAAAGTATTTATATTGCAACGAGGCAAGCATTCTTCAACCTGTCCAGCTATTTGCACTGTTATTTAGGCGTTGATACAATGCTGGTAAGCTAAGGGTCACATGTCAGTTAGTCACGTGAAAGTCACGTTTTCTATCAGGGAAGAGCTAACCTAGGAAATAACGTCTACTGGAAAATAATATTAACGAGAACTATTGTTTGTTATAGACATCTGATGTCTACTCTCCAATATCTTAAAGGAAAAAAAGGTTCTCATTTGTAGTTGAAAGAAGTGTGACAGGTTTATGACTCAGTATTCTTCAACGGGATAAGTAATTTTGTGTAGCAAGAATATGGACTCAAAACGTCTTATAGAACTGACCATAGATAAGACATCTATAGGTCTGGACAAAACGCGCAAACGAAAGAAGCACTAATAATATTCGAGGCTTTTACATGGAGCAGCGGCACCTATTAGCACTACACTGGAGCTTTTTAGTAAAATCAAGGAATGAGGTACTTAATTTAATAGGCGATGTGGAAGGGCGGGTCCCTTCCCTTCCCTCGGTAAAAATACTTTATCACATAATCTGATCTCTTTTAGGATTTTAGGGTGAGTCGCTTTTAGATATCCTTGAGAAAAGAAAATACATTTTAGCCTAGTAATTTACAAAATGGCTGTTGTAGATCAGCTAAGGGAAGTGGTCAAGGAAAGTATACTCAAATGAGACCCAAGTAAGATAGCCGTTTTTTCATGAGCCTGAAATGAGTAAGGCTTATATTCCTCGCCCCAATTGTTCAAAATTTGGATAGCGCTATCCACCGGATAGGTTGCTATCCAATGGATAAGTATTACGAAAATTAATTGCGTTATCGACTGGAAAGTGATTTATCCGGTGGATAGCGCTATCCACTTTTTGAACAACTGGGGCCTGAATGTCGCAAGAGAATTAGACGTTCTCTGTGTGCAAGAGTTTGTATCGCTCAGAGATGCTAGACAATTCGCCACTTCGGAAACGAGAAGAAAACTGGGCCGAGTTTGCTTTCGCAAAGACTTCTGGGATTGACACTGGGGACGTGCCGGTCAGCCATTGGCAAATTTTTCTGTGTCCACAGTAACAGTCCCAGAAGGTCTTCGTGAACGTTAACTCGGCCCAGTTCCCTTCTCGTTTCTAAAGTGGCGATATGGGGATGAGAGGAGTCCGGAAGTGCGCATGCCACCTCCTCGTCTGAGGAACAAGGGCCCTGTCTGCCTTCCAACTTTTGACCACTTCCCAAAGTTGAATTAGTTTTCTAAGAGACGAACAGTTGTTGAAGTCTCAAGCTACTTTACTGCAAGAGGCGACCTGCGCCTAATCTTTCAAATAATGAACTGTAGAATTCTTCAGTCACTGAAAGTTAATGAAATATTGCCATCTAAACCATTCTGTACCCAGCAACAGAATCGTATCTTGACATGGCTTTGTAATAAAGTTTTGTATTCGAATATGGCCCATCGTCTTTTAAATGAATGGATCAGCTATATTTCCGTCAAACTCGTGACCAGGGTCTCTCGTCCCTGAACTGAGAGGGGCTGGGATGAATAGTAGAGAGCTCCTACGAACGAGGCTGTTTTGCTGTATAATTTTCTACCTTGATTACCGCGGGCAGTTTGAATACTTCCTAAACTTTTCTCACCATAAGAATCCTCTAAAACTCACCGATCTGCCTTGAGAATCACACGGAATAAAGGCCACTCAACCTCATTCCCAGGTTTTTCCAATCTTGTCGCTCCAAGAAACAGGTTAAGAGAAGAGAGAGACTGGGAGCGAGGTCATTAGAGATTACGCACAATGTATATCGATGATGTTAACGTGCAAAAGCTAAATAACCGAAAATAATGAGCACCCTTTTGCGATATGGAAAGAATTAAAGAAACGCATGTATTCGGACTTTGGAATCCACCGACCTGATATTTAAAATAATACCTGGATTGTTATTCTTAATATTGTGAGTCTACAACCTAAGAACCGATATCCAATTTCAGAAAGAGAAAGAAGATTTTGTCGAGGCTTGTTTGCGTCCACCATAAAACGTGAAATTAGGCATCTGTGTTTACGTTGTATCGCCGTGTGCAAACGGACGCAACATTGCTGGCCAACAACTCCCAGTATTGTTGGATGGTAAATGTTGCGTACGTTTGCACACCCTGTTTCATGTCACTGCCTGTTGTTGGGAGTTGTTGCGCAAAGTTTGAAACCGGTCAAACTTTTAGCAATGTGCAAACGGAATCAACAACTCCCAACAATGTTGGGAGTTGTTGGTCAAAAATGCTGCGTCCGTTTCCACGAAGCTGTAGTCGTGAGGTTACGGCAAAGAAATGAACAAAAGTAAAAAACGTGCTGCAGGCGCAGCCTATTGATTTTGTGACGTTCTCGTTGCCGTCGACGTTGTCGGCAGCACTTTCGTTGATGCTTTCCTTTAAGGAGAGTTTTGGGGAAACGGGTTGAAAAGGGTTAATTAATCAAGTACTAACATATTTTGATAGGATCCAAGTGTACAGAACACATGCGGATATTGGCTTGTCCAAACGATCAAAGAATAATCCCTCAGAAAAAGAAAGATTTAACATCGCAAAGACTGGAGGGCCCCGAATGACAGGTGAGAAATATAGACTAGCTAATGTATCAAAACAAAGAAGAAACTGCCATTTAATGTACAAGATTGCTTTGTTTAAAGAAAGCCTCAGTAAGACAGCTAAAAACCTCAATGGAGTTAGTATAAAATCAACCTCGTCCCCAGGGCTTTAAAATGTCTCAAATACCAAACCTACCTTGCAGAAATTACTCTTGCAAAGTAGTTTGCCTTCCTCAATGGAAGTCTGTTTCTATCAATTTCCCCTGAGTAGCTGAAAATGTTTTCATGACATTCTTGAGAGGTAGAGGAATTTTGAGTGAAGGGTTTACTTTCTAAAGAAACTGTGTTGTTACGATGGCAACCGTAGGAGGATTGAGAAGCTGACGTTTCGGACGCTACCCCGACCCTCAGTCCTCAGATAGCCTGTGTACAACCGCCGCCCCCCCTGTAAACAGGTTACTCAAAACGTAAGCTTCTCAATCGTCTACGATCACCAGTCTACTTTATGAACTCATTTGATGAAACCAAATAAATGGAATGGCGAGTGTTCAGGGCGCTTAGAAGGTCACCGGAGATACTGAACACAATGGCCACTAAATGACATGATGTAAAGACTACTTACAGATAAATCATTCTCTTAAACACATAGCTGAAGTGCAAAAAGAGGTAGAGCGGATCTATGAACTGGCCAAAAGTTTGAACATGGTGGTTATCGACTGTGACGTCATCAACCATCCCTCTCAGCTGACCGACTGCTCGCTGGCGCCAATATCGATCTACATCAAAATGGAGCCACAAATTCTGGAAAAACTCGTCAAATTACGTGGATCCAAGAGGAAAAACCTAGGAGCTCAAGTGGTAGCCGCTCAAAAGCTTGCACAGTGCAACGAGGTCAGTAACTCATTAAAACTGTACGTACAACGAAATTCTTTCGTCACACAACGCTACAGGTTCGTCACACAACGCTACAGGTTCGTTACACAACGCTACATGTTCGTAACACACACCACACGTTCGTGACACAACGCTTCATGTTCGTAACACAACGCTATATGTTCGTCACACAACGCTACATGTTCGTCACACAACGCTATATGTTCGTAACACAACGCTACATGTTCGTAACACAACGCTACATGTTCGTAACACAACACCACATGTTCGTGACACAACGCTACATGTTCGTCACACAACGCTACATGTTCGTCACACAACGCTATATCTCACGCTATGTTCACACTATACCGGATAGTTTTGCGTGCCGACATGTACAACTATCCGGTGTAGTATGAACACCTATCAGACATGTGACTCTCCACTTAAGAGATCGGCACGGCGCAGCTTTACTCTGTTACAGATATCGCCCCCCCAAAAAACGTTGTATATGTGAACCGAGGCCCTATCCGATATGGTTTTCATACCGGCGCAAAAGCCATCCGATCTAGTGTGAACGTTACCTCAAATACTTTGGAAAGGGATCTGGTGTGACAACCCAAAGGGAAGGAGTGTGTCAATAGAGACTCGGGTTTTTTGTCTGTAGGAGAAAACCGACACTAGTTGCCAAACAGGTCTCTGTTAGGTAGTGAATCTTCCTATGGCTAGTGTTATCTTCAATCTTCTGTTTAACACAGGAAATGTTTGACTTGGTTCTTGATGAGGCCATTTTTGAAGACGCTTGTGAGCACCTTGGGGAGTTTCTTGACCAGTACTGGAGAGACCTGCACCCAAGTGACAAAGAAGATGGTGCTTTACCTCTAACGGAAAAGACGCCTTTGCTTCAAGGAGTTTCTAACGTTCCAGGAACTAAGGTAACCAGGGGTGTTTACCATTTTAACAAACCACCCGGCTGGAAATCTTGTGCATAAAAATAAATCTATGAAATTTGATTTGGTGGAGAACGATCCGCTACAACGTATGCGCAAATTAGCTGAACAGGCTTAAGAGAACAGAAAAATTGCATTGCCTTAAATCACAGACTACATTTTCTGAAGCTCCCAAACGGAATGGCGCCCGGAATTTCCGGTTTTCTCGTTTAAATTGTAAGTACCTCATTTTTGTTAAGGCTGAGATTGGCCAAATCTAAATCAAAAGGTGTTAAGACCAAGGCTGAATCCATTTCATATCATTTCTGAGAGCTTTCTAACTTGACGCAACGAAAAAAGGTACACCTACGTCCTAAGGTACAAGTCATTTAAAGAGACAGCAAAACAGATTTCACCTTCTTTGAGCAATGTTACCATTCCTTTTTAATTATTGCTACGATGATGATATTAATCAAATACAAAATCATTCATGAAAGAGGTATGGTAATTCGCATGACGTGATACCAGCAGTTTCTATAGCGACAGCTTAAACCGCTTAATTTTTATCTTGAAGGGTTAGCGCGAGAAAGAAAAATCATTTACCCCTTGCGCTGGCGGTCAATAAATCCCGCGCGTTTTATATTATAGCGCGCGCGGTCGACGGACTTTGAAGAGAAAATATAGGGTCTGTGAACAGGCTTCAAAATTGTACTGTAATATGGAATCCTAATTCGTCTTGAGAGTGGCCATATGTTCTTTATCAGTGAGTAGATTTATCGTAGCAACAATTGATACAGGGTGGTGATATTGATTCATCAGAAAGAATAAGTGCTAAAACAGGAGGAAGCTGCGAGCCAGCCTAAAACATCTCTTGTAATTCAGTTAAAATTGATTAAATGACAGGTTCCAACGACGAGTTTGACACAGAAAACACAGAACCAACAAGGCGCACAAGGATCGTCTGAGGTTCAAGACTCGGTTGGATCACGTAGGAAGATGGCGGTAACTGGGGCTGCACCTGACTTCGGCAAAAAGTTGCACGAAGCTTTCCAAAGTACTCAAACGACGAAACCAAAAACGTACCAAGGCGATACTGGCTACCAAGCAGCTTATAGCTCGGAGATGCAGCAATATGACCAACAGCAGCAGCAGCAACAACAGTACTACCCTCAAGAGGAATATTATGATCCGGGACAAAATTACGGGGCTGAAATGTATGGGCACCAGCAGGGTTACTCCAGTGAGTCCTATCGCCAGCAAGGATACAACCAACAGTATAGTCAGGACAGCCAATATGATTACGGACAGTATGGGCAGGACCTTAATCAGGGTTACTCCCACGGGTACACGAATGAACACCAGTACCCCGACCCTTACTATGATCATGATTCAAGCATGGGATATCAGCAGTACGGTAATGAGATGGAGAGTGGATATCAACAGGGCCATGATTGGTACGGGGACACCGGCAACTATTACGGCGGAGGTGGCTACTATCACTGAATAAGTAGGACACAGGGAATAATTATTTGGAACAATTTACAATTGATAGCAATTATTTTTTTGTTAAATTTCATAAAAGTATTTATATTGCAACGAGGCAAGCATTCTTCAACCTGTCCAGCTATTTGCACTGTTATTTAGGCGTTGATACAATGCTGGTAAGCTAAGGGTCACATGTCAGTTAGTCACGTGAAAGTCACGTTTTCTATCAGGGAAGAGCTAACCTAGGAAATAACGTCTACTGGAAAATAATATTAACGAGAACTATTGTTTGTTATAGACATCTGATGTCTACTCTCCAATATCTTAAAGGAAAAAAAGGTTCTCATTTGTAGTTGAAAGAAGTGTGACAGGTTTATGACTCAGTATTCTTCAACGGGATAAGTAATTTTGTGTAGCAAGAATATGGACGCAAAACGTTTGATAGAACTGACCGTAGATAAGACATCTATAGGTCTGGACAAAACGCGCAAACGAAAGAAGCACTAATAATATTCGAAGCTTTTACATGGAGCAGAAGAACCTATTAGCACTACACCGGAGCTTTTTAGTAAAATCAAAGAATAAGGTAGTTAATTTAATAGGGTGATGTGGAAGGGCGGGTCCCTTCCCTTCCCTAGGTCAAAAATACTTTATCACATAATCTGATCTCTTTTAGGATTTTAGGGTGAGTCGCTTTTAGATATCCTTGAGAAAACAAACATTTTAGCCTAGTAATTTACAAACTTGCTGTTGTAGATCAGCTAAGGGAAGTGGTCGAGGAGAGTATACTCAAATGAGACCCATATAAGACAGCCGTTTTTTCGTGAGCCTGAAATGAGTAAGGCTTATAGTCCTGGCCCCGATTGTTCAAAATTTGGATAGCGCTATCCACCGGATAGATTGCTAAGATAAGTATTACGAAAATTAATTGCGTTATCGACTGGAAAGTGATTTATCCAATGGATAGCGCTATCCACTTTTTGAACAACTGGGGCTTGAATGTCACATGAAAATTAGACGTTCTCTGTGTGCAAGAGTTTGTATCGCTCAGAGATGCTAGACAATTCGCCACTTTGGAAACGAGAAGAAGTCCCAGAAGTCTTCGCGAAAGTTAACTCGGCCCAGTTCCCTTCTCGTTTCTAAAGTAGTGATATGGGGATTAGAGGAGTCCGGAAGTGCGCATGCCACCTCCTCTTATCAGGAACAAGGGCCTTGTCTGCCTCCCAACTTTTGACCACTTCCCAAAGTTGAATTAGTTTTCTAAGAGACGAACAGTTGTTGAAGTGTCAAGCTACTTTACTGCGAGAGGCGACCTGCGCCTAATCTTTAGAATAATAAACTGTAGAATTCTTCAGTCACTGAAAGTTAATGAAATATTGCCATCTAAACCATTCTGTATCCAGCAACAGAATCGTATCTTGACATGGCTTTGTAATAAAGTTTTGTATTCGAGTATGGCCCATCGTCTTTTAAATGAATGGATCAGCTATATTTCCGTCAAACTCGTGATCAGGGTCTCTCGTCCCTGAACTGAGAGGGGCTGGGATGAATAGTAGAGAGCTCCTACGAACGAGGCTGTTTTCCTTTATAATTTTCTTCCTTGATTACCGGGGGAAGTTTGAATACTTCCTAAACTTTTCTCACCATAAGAATCCTCTAAAACTCAGCGATCTGCCTTGAGAATCACACGGAATAAAGGCCACTCAACCTCATTCCCAGGTTTTCCCAGTCTTGTCGCTCCAAGAAACAGGTCAAGAGAAGAGAGAGACTGGGAGCGAGGTCATTAGAGATTACGCACAATGTATATCGATGATGTTAACGTGCAAAAGTTAAATTACCGAAAATAATGAGCACCCTTTTGCGATATGGAAAGAATTAAAGAAACGCATGTATTCGGACTTTGGAATCCACCGACCTGATATTTAAAATAATACCTGGATTGTTATTCTTAATATTGTGAGTCTACATACAAACCTATACATTTGAGAAACAATTTGTGTTACGAGGTTTCTTAAAACTGAATTTATTAAGTAACTACAGTGGAACTCTTCTTGAAAATTTTTACTTTACAGAGGTAAATACGAAACACTTTCCTCTACACAGAAAATAAAATCCCGAGCAATTCATCAAATACGAGTGTTCCATCCAGATATCCAAACAACGAGAAGAATTTTAAGAAAGAAACAATGCAAAGACGAACTTTTGTTGTTGTTTGCCGCAGNACCGAAAATAATGAGCACCCTTTTGCGATATGGAAAGAATTAAAGAAACGCATGTATTCGGACTTTGGAATCCACCGACCTGATATTTAAAATAATACCTGGATTGTTATTCTTAATATTGTGAGTCTACATACAAACCTATACATTTGAGAAACAATTTGTGTTACGAGGTTTCTTAAAACTGAATTTATTAAGTAACTACAGTGGAACTCTTCTTGAAAATTTTTACTTTACAGAGGTAAATACGAAACACTTTCCTCTACACAGAAAATAAAATCCCGAGCAATTCATCAAATACGAGTGTTCCATCCAGATATCCAAACAACGAGAAGAATTTTAAGAAAGAAACAATGCAAAGACGAACTTTTGTTGTTGTTTGCCGCAGCAATGAACGATTTTCCTATTTCTGTTAGCTTGAAATCGAGGGTGATTTACGAGCCTCGTTTGTAAGCTGATTCCAGTACTTTGCCGAGGGCACGAGAAAGGTCTCCTTGTGGTGTCTGGATACCGAACGAAACATTTATTTTGACTTTTACACGGCCTGTCAGACCATAATTTATAAGATTGGTGGTTATTGTATCTGGCAACAAATCGCCGTCACGGTAGTAATTTCCTTTATTAGAGAACAAAGTAGTACGTTTATGACAAACGGAGAGTAAAGGTCTTTTTCCTACGCAACTTGCCGCATTTACTGTTTCTAAAGAATGTTCTCTTAAATTCAATGAAAAAACGTTATATAGAATGGCATTTTTTGCTAATTGTCAGATTCATGAAGCAATCCGCGTAAGATGATGTCTGTCATTGAGCGGTAACTTATTGGTTCATTTATCTACCTTTTCCTCGTGATCGATAAGCGAGTTTGAGGACTCCATTTTACAGATGATGCTTTTCATAACTACAATTAAACTTTACAAGGCATCTAGATCTACATAAAACAATCAGTCACTGATCCACTGTTCATATTTCATGCTAGGACATGTGTACTTACAGAACTAAGAGGTTAAAGAAAGTTCAAAAGTTCTACGAACAAGAAAATCTACTGTTAAAGGTTTTGTTAACAATGGAACTATAGCTTCTATTGGTAGAAATGGGAATTAACGGGAAAACAAATACTAACTATTTTTATATTAAGTGAAAAACTATTGTTTTGGATTTTCCATTGTCGTGTTCACAAGCATGGCTATCAAATCCTCTTGAGCATCGACAATAACAACTTAAACGTTTATGTCTTGTAATTACTAAACATTCTTGTTTGAACACGATCTTGCAAGTACAGGTGCTGACATTATTCTTGAACTAAAATGAAACTGGTTCAACAAAACCTTTAGACGCTGTCCCTGGGTATTTCACTAGATTTCTGGGTGGGAAACAAATAATGCACATGGGCGAGCCTCATCTTCACCCAGATGTTTTCGACCAAGTCTTCGATTGATATCGTTGCAAAACAGTTTTAAAATGAGGTAAACGGTAAAAATCTACATGACAGAAATCTGAGCCTTCAGCCCAAGCCGTAGCTTTGACACTGAATAGCTTGAAGAAGCTTTCGCTTTAGAATTTTCTTGGAAGAGTAGAGCGGTATACTCATTCGCTGACCGCAAGTGGTTGCCATTGGTAACGCCTTAGTATTGCCACTAATGACTTCTACAGTGATGCTCAAATCTAAAAAAAAGCGAAAAAAAAAATTGTTGAGACATATTCCCAATCTTACTCGTGTGGGAAGGTAACAACCGGTTTCGCTACTTGTCGAATTCGCTACGTCCTAGTTCACAACAAATTCGCTACATATTACTTTCTGGAAACCATTGAAAATTTAACAATTAATGAATGAGGCTGAGTATCTTATGAAGAATTATGGAGTTCGAGGAGGGTGTTGTCCGTCGAGGATAACTTCGCACAGAAAGAGTGGACTTAAAATGCATTCTATGGACACATTGAATTAATTTCTTAGTGATTTGCTTCGTTAATGCTTAAAGATTTAAATCGTAGCATTGTATCGCCACTTATTTAGAAGTTCTGCGTCACAAGTGTCTGTGTTGTGGTTCAATTTTCATCCATGCCTTTTTCAGAATGAAACAAAGGAAAGCAAAACTAGAACCACAACGGTAACACCGCCTTTTAAAAGTGCTGCACGCGGAAACTACATTTATTGAACAGAGCAACGAATGAATATAATAGCAACAGCAGCATGTTTATCTTTTCAATAACAATGAATAGTATGAATACAATACCTTGCTCGGGGTCTCTTCTATCAGATAGAGCGGGTAGAACAGCACTACCAGTGCAAAAATACAGCAGCTGTTGCCTTTGAAGAGGAGTCATTTTCTGTACAATTGACCAGAACCACCTGACGAAGGGAAAGAAAATTACATGTTTTCAGTCGTCTTTTGACACATTCAGTGTCCCTTTGGTGGCCCAGTGAGGAGGTTCGGGGTCATAAGCACTGCTTCCCTTTTCAATTGATTTTCAGTGTTTACGAGAGAGTACTTAGGAGCTAAAGATATAGCATGGGATATAAAGGTCTGTTTAATACGTGTGCAATTTTCATAACTTAGTGCACTGAACTGACAAGCCAGACCATTCCCGTCGTAATGAGAATTTCACTTCAACACTATCCGGGCACATCAGTCAAATCTTAAATAATATACACGAAGGAGATGGTTTTTCAGCAAAAACTCTTGGAAATAGCCTTTTTCATTGTCAAAATGACTGGTCCGGCCATGGTCTGGCCGCGCAGTTCTGACCTTTGGAAAGCGCCCTTAGATCCAAAACTCAACTGTGCAAATTGCAAACTATAAACATCAGGACAAACGAGCTACAACTCTGTGGCTTAATCACATTATGACGTGTGATCTAACGCATAGCAAATCGAATCCATTTATTAACAGTTTACAAATCATCCGAGTTCCAGGAAAGTATTAAACACGGCGGATCTTCATTACCTCTTGAATCGCTCCAGTATATCAGCAGAGCAGCCATTACTGTTACTGAATGTGATTACAGATCGAAGTCGGTTGATATCCACATCTGTTGTTCCACCTGACACAAGCAGTTGGAAGTCCTCTGGTGTGAGAGACGACATCAGTTCAGATGGTATGACGTCATGAAGACCGCTTCTCATTGCGCGCAATTCATCTTCTACGCAGCCAAACATCACTTTAGTAGCGTATAACCTGAAAAAAATCAAACCAGTAATCACAATCGTAAAAAAGCATGGTACATAAAAGTGACTTTAAGTATTGCCTTCCTTAAAGACCAAAGTAACTCCATGGGGAAAACTATCCAGCCACGAACTTTCATTCCTACTCCAAGGCTATTCACCAATTTCGTATTGCTCATTATATTCATATACCCCTTGGTTATCCCCAAAAGTTTTGCATAAGCATTGACTTCAATTTACTTCGGTAGTACTGTATTATCTAGTCTCTCCTCCCGTGCAACCTTTTTTGTCGCGTCACGCAACGACCCTCCCCTCCTCCTCTTGGAGAGGAGCGTTGTGTGACGAAAAACGGCTGCGTCGCCGTGATAGACTATCGACACCAATTCAGTAGTGCTTCAAGTTTTGTTTCAGTTAGCAGCTGTTTATTCAACCTCTAAGAGAATTGATTTACTGACTTACCTAACGTATTTGCAGATATTATCTGGTGTTACAGGAATCTGAGAGCCACCAGGAATAAGCTCTTCGGTAGTGCCACCGACTGAGGTCTGTCACGAAATAACATGAAAAGAAAAAAGCCCACATTTAACGCCAAGTAAGGGATCTTTTTCAACTTTCCAGCAACGCTGAGAGGAGCCGTTCTGAGAGAACTTAAGGATGAAATTTGTGATAAACTATTCTTCACCATGCCTCATTGGACTTGAAAAAGTATGAAAAGTGTACGAGTGTTTAACAAGCCCGAAAAACACTGTCAGTGCACCTGTATGTTGTAAGTTTGCTATTTCAAAAGTGAAGTAACTCTTGCAAGGCCCTCATTTACAGACGCGCCTGTCGCGCGTTCTGCTCACGGTTCGCGAGCTTACTACTCGCGAGCTTGGTCTTCAAAAAGAACGCGCTTTTTGGCGTCGATCGCTAGATTAGCTTGGAGTAACGGCCAGGGACAGTTTGAGGCCAAGTCTAGAGATTTGTAGTCTCCTTCGCAGCTGCTCGGGCCGGAGTAACGCAGGCTCGCGGGGAGTTTGCATGACTCCGGCCGAGCGGCTTCAAAGGAGACTAAGAGATTTGAGGCCTGTACAGGAATTTATAAGAGAATAAGAAATGAATTGTGTTATAAGAAAAAGTTGCTCGGAGTCAGGACGGCTAAATAAAGACTTCAGTTCTTAAAACAGTTTACGTTCAATTTGAATGATGTTTGCGCCGAATCCATACCTCAAAATGACAGCAGTACGTTGCTTGGAACCGTTCTGGGGTCATCAGCGGATGGGTCCCATCAAGAATCATTCGGCTGAGTCCCTCAAACAAGTCGGCATTGAAAAAGGCCAGGTCTTCCCACGTCACCTCCCTAAAGGAAAAGTTGAAGATATAACGACTTTTGCACTATAATAACAAGAAACTGTAAAACAAAGAAACATAAGAATGGCACTAAGGACCACATTTGTTTCTGAACTGGAGTATTATAGGAACTGTTAGGTGTCTTAACCTACAAGAGACATGTTACGTGACTAGAACATGACCGGGGGAGGGGAAGGGGTTTTGGTCAAAGGCCTAGCTGGACCCTGGCAGGTATTATGATTGATGTTGACTTTGCTTCGTACAATAGGAAGAGCCCAAGTGTATGATGGAAATGTTTAGCACCTAGCGAATATTTTGAGATTAAAGGCGAATTTACCGTCCTCATAGGACAGGAAAGTAAATTCATTGAGGGCACTTTTAAACGACGTAAGAATGGGCTGAATTGGTAACAGTGATGAGGAAATTTTGTCAGAAACAACTCTGAGCTCTAACTTGAGTCCCAGGGGATGAAGTAACGTCACAAAACAAAAACGAAGAGGACGATACAAAGGAACAACTTCGAAAACAACTTTGGGCTTACAAAGTGTACGTTGGAGATTATTCATATACCAAGGATAAAAAGACACAATTCGAATAAAAGCCCCATTGAATGCTTCAATAGAAAGTTAATAGCATATCTAGAGCCAAAATATTTAAATGAGAGACACAATAACCAATACCTTTCCAGCAGGAATTTAACCACATGTCTACTGAAGTTCAATGGAACAGTGTTGCTAAACCACAAACTCAAACCAATGAACCGGCCTATAGCAGTGAACATCTTAAGACGACGAGTCTGTAGCAAAACAGAGAAGACAAGGAGTATTAGAGTATACAAGTACAATCGGCAAGGTTTCATGACAAGTTCGCATTACCTTCGTGTGTTTAAATAAGTACATTCGGCAAGGTTTCGTGACAAGTTCGCATTACTTTCGTGTGTTTAAATAAGTACATTCGGCAAGGTTTCGTGACAAGTTCGCATTACTTTCGTGTGTTTAAATAAGTACATTCGGCAAGGTTCCGCGACAAGTTCGCATTACCTTTGTGTGATTCTCGGCTGCTCCAGATGTTTCGTTGTAGGCAAATGGTGTTGGGGCGTAGAAGCCGCTTTGCTCTGGTAGTTTGCCCGGTTCATGTAGCAAAGTGGTAGTTTCATCAGGAATCTGAAAATGAATTGATTTACGTTAGCCATTTCATTTCTAAAATTGCCTACAAAATTCAACAAAATTTCCAACTTCCATTTTGTAAAAATGCTGAAAAACAAATAGTACCGGATGAAAGTACTGCTGAAGAGGTTTCATTTGAATGGTCACATCATAGGTTTTCATCCACAGACTCAAAAGTTAGAACTACAAACTAAGTACCTACTTAGCGGGAAAACGCGACACCCGTCGTCATTCTACTACGGGATTTGGCGAGAGTGTCGTAATGCGGAAACGAGTTATCAACGGTAGAAAGTTTTATCATTTTGCGATCGGGAGAAGGATAGACTCCTGCACTAAAAAGAACTGTTCAAACTTTTCTGGAGAAAAAAAGTACAATGAAGCTTTCCGGGATGTATATTTTTTGAGAAGATGCGACAAAACTTTAAATTAAATCTCGTCTTCAAATCTAAAGGTGTCTAATACCCAAGTCGATGAGGCAAATCCGCGTTCGGTAATAATAATAATAATAATAATAATAATAATAATAATAATAATAATAATAATAATAATAATAATAATAATAATAATAATAATAATAATAATCTTTATGAGGATATCAATTTCACTGATAAGTGATTTACAAAAGAGTCCTCAAAAATAGCAATAAAATCGAACAGAAACAGAGTCCAAGAGGCTTTTAATCAACCCTCTACGGCAAAGCATCTTTAAATACTATGTTATCCTTAATCCAACCTTCTCATCCGTTTTGAGTGCATTCGCCATCGCCGCAAAGAAACCGCGGTTAACACCAGGCCCAGATCCTTCCTCTCCTTCAAACTTGATTCGCAGGTTGCTATAGTGAAAGGTAGACATCTGCAAGAGAAGTAGGACAAAGGTAGACTGTTGTGGGGCAACACGGACTCTCTATACTATGGTAGAGAACACAACTGGACGGAAAGAAATGTCGAGCTTATCAGAAGAGACATAAATCCCGATAGTATAGTCACTTTAAAAAGGTCCAGGCAACTACTTGTGTACTTCCACTGATATAAAGGATACTGCTGGGTTGTATTTACAAGATGAAGGGGTGGTCGAGGATTGAACTTCGTACTACCGAGAAAAACATACAGCTAGCGGTCAGGGTGGGGCTTGAAATCGGGTCTCTGATACCTCCTCCTTGCCTTGTTCACATACTATATTGCAAAATAATATTTGAAAGTACTGAGGTTTAAATGTTAACGAAGTCGACCCCAGCCTCACTTCCATGTAAAGACCAGGCCATAAAATACTCAACTGTAAAATGGGTCATCGGGTAAATATATGGAAGAAAGGCGAAAGCTATCAACACAAAAAGAGAATCTTTCCAGCAAACCTACAAAACTATAAAACAATGTTAATCACCTCTCCAAGTATTCTTAGTGTGCTTTCCAGGATCTTTTGCCTCTTGATTGACAAAGAGAGAGTGGTACCCACTCTTCCTCCCACTGATCCATAAGGACCAAGCTGCTGGGATTCATTGGTGACAGAGTCACGTAAATATGAAACTGCGCGGCGGAACCTGGACACAAATATACATGATGATAAGAAGGGCAAGACTGATCAACATAAACTTTCTCTCAACAATATCAATACATAAACATGATTATCACTGTTCTGATATAAACTTACTGGCGTAATTTGGAAGAAGGAGAAATCTAACACCAGAAATCTAAAAAAAGAAAACCCTTTCGAGCTCCAGGTGAGAATCGAACTCCCGACCCTTTGAGATCTAGTTTGGATGCTCTAATCGCTGAGCATACAAAGACATCTCTTTTACGGTGGGGAAGGGGTTACCATAAAGTCACTACTACTTTTTCGGCGGAAACCGGCAGGTGTGCTTACCATTTACCCAAACCAGACCCAGGTGAAAATCTTGCGCATAAACATAAACTCTAAAATTTGACTTGGTGGGAGATTGAACCCCTACAATGTAAATCCAAATCAGGTGAACAGATTAAAAAGAGTAGAAAAATTCAATGCCCTAAAATCACAGCTCATGTTTTCTGAAGCTCCCCAAACAGAATGGTGCGGACCATTTGATTTTTTAACCAGAATTTCCGCATCTCCCATGTAAAAAGTAAGCACCCCAGGGAAGACATTTTTCGCCCGTTTACCCACAGCTGTATTTTGTGGATAAACGTCACGATCCCGGATTTGGTCCTGAACAAAAAATACTGGACTGACTTCCACTTTAAACTTTACGCCACAATATCGACATGTATATTCTCTTCAATGTTCTCCATATGATTCTTACTGTACTGTTTGAGAGAATTTGTCCAAACACCAAGATATTTTCTCAGTGCTGATCATTTTGCTCATTCTTTTTACCTGGTCATTTGATTTGGCAATAATATTGTTAGGAGAAATTCGATGTTGGTCACCACTGTACCTTGCTAGTCTACCCGCCACACCAGCTCGCGCCGCCAGGAAGCTATCTCTCTCGGCTCCAGGTCCGTCGGCAAGAAAAATGCGGGAAAACAGATCCACAGAGATCTTCCACCTGGCCATCACTAGATCAGGTGACCACATCAGCACCAGAGGGAAGGACACATCGTGTCTGCAAACACAAACAGCATATCTCTGTATAGCCTGCGTCGCAAAGTAATCTAGTCCCGGTTAGTAACGTCTGTGAAGCAGCGCCGAGTCCACCGGACTCAACGAATTACCAGGAGTGCATTTCGAGTTTCTTTTCAACCTGATTGGCAATTTGACAATGGCGTTTTTTTAACGGCCAATCATGGCACGTTCTCAAATCCGGGTACACAGGCAGGGGCCCAAAACAAGGATTTCGGCGCTGCGTCGGATTCGACGAAGTAATGTCGCCAACAACCTCACGCTCCTTCCGAAAACCGATGGCAACTCGATGGCATAGTGGTTAGGTTTCTACGAGACTCTGTTTACAGTATATGACAATCAACAATATGATAACCGGTACTTACTTGGGCAAGGCGCTGAATGTGGTTGGTAGCTTGCTCTCCTCCTCATTCTCTTTTTGTAACGCAAGATTTGTCTCATCACAAGACTTCTGACGAGCGACTGTCACGTTATGTGTGAAAACTTCCCAGGATGCTTTGGGAACTTTGGGAAATTTCTGTTGCACTGTATCTTGCAGACTGTTTAGAAACTTCTCTCTATCAGTATGCATCACGTCCATGCCAAAAAACGTTACGATCCTTTCCCGATCATGGCTATGGCGACGGCGTCGTTTGGATTCTGTAGTATTAGGGGACGGCCTAGTTTCTTGTCCCGAGGGCCCTTCCTCGTTCTGCAGAGGCTGAGAAGAACTGTGACTAGAGTCATCTCCATCGTGGCTTGAGATCGAGACTCTTCGGTCCAGGCCTTTTCCAGCGCGTGGCCAGTGAGTCATTGAGTAAATGAGGGCGTCCAGAACATACACAGTGTGTTCGTAGCTGTAATGATGAAAATACTTACATTTTTACTTTCTTTTAAATGAAGAATAGCAACAAAAGTGTGCAAATTGCTCAATACCATTTAAAGTGTTTGCCTCTAATTTTCCTGAAATTTAGTTTGATTTACAGTTAAAAAACGAGTAAACCTACATGATGTAGCGTCAATAGTGCGGCGCAATCAACCAACAAAAACTGTAGGCAAGAAAATTGCACTTTTGACATTTCTTTTCCGAGCGGGTTTTACTGCCAACGGCTTTTCGCCTGCGTGGCAGGGGCAAAACGGTGGGGGGAAGGAAGGGGAGGGATGGGGAGAAAAGCCCGAAAGGGAAATCTCTTGCCCTCCTCTCTCCTACTCTTTCGACGCCTGCCACGTATGCTAACAGCTTTTGGCGATGCACACAATTAAGATGTTACCGTTGCTCTTCACTCACCAAATCATATCAACAACGAGAGGGGAGGGGTGGGGATAAAACCACGGCAGAAAAAATCCCTTTCCCTCCTCTCCCCTCCTCCTTCGACGCCTGTCACGTAGGCTAACAGCTTTTGGCGATGCACACGATTAAGACGTTACCATTACTCTTCACTCACCACATCATATCAACAACGGGAGGGGAGGGGTGGGGATAAAAACGCGAAGGAGAAACTCCCTTTCCCTCCTCTCCCCTCCTCTTTCGACGCCGGCCACGTAGGCTCACAGCTAAGAACTTACCACAGCATATCAACAACAGGAAGAGAATCTTTGTGTTCATTGTTATGCGCTCTTAGAAGGAACATAAGGTACTCCTCAGGGGAGGCCCCGGGGATAGTTGACACAGTCCTTGTCAACATGGCCAATTCCGTGTCTTCAGGGCGCTGAAGTGAGGTAAGATATCTCTGCAAAGATAAAGTACATAGTTTGTTAATATTTATTCAAAGAACTTCTCCATTTCTGATTGGCTTAAATCTCTGGGTTAATTATCCTTTAACACGGTGAACAAATTTGGAAGATATACATGAGCGGTCCAATAATAGAAAATGCATTAACTGCATGACGTCAATGGTCAATTGATTTAAAAATTGGGAAGAATGACGTCACGGACATTTATGAAGGCGTGTACTGTAATTCTAGCTTTTGAATTTGTGAACCAAAACCGAAGGTATTTTGCAGTATTTTCCAGAGTAAAAATTGAGATTTTCTTAATTTTTCGTATTCTGGTCGACCTCTTCAGAGTTGAAAGGCTTTGGCTATGGTTATGACAGAGCAAAGAACACAATACACTAACAATGACAAACCTTAGTATCAAATTGCTTTCCCATTCGTAACTGCCCCTCAACCACATCCAACACCCCAGCAAGCCACGCCCACGATTTCTCCAGGGTGGACATCATAGAGTCCTGAATCAATTTGCACTCCTGCTGGTCAACTGACAAGGCGGGTAGGACGGTTTCACTGCCTGTCCCCTGTTGGGAGGGGCCGGAATCTTCAGAGAGAGTGGACATAAGATCCAGGGTTTCCTTCACTAACCGTGCGAACATACGAGTCAGGTAGCAGTTTCCAGTGTGGATGCTGGGTGGAGATATCACGCTTGAGGCCAACTGTGGGATCTGTGATCAGCAATAGAACTATTTGACAGGGTACTTAATTACAGGAAAAAGAAAAAAATAACTGTATTCTCTCTTCCGACACTAGACCTTTCCCACATTCCACTCAAGTGCGCACGTATAATGTGTAGTTCCAGAATTATCTACACCACCGCCACGGAGGGCAACGGAAATTCCAGGGGAAGGGGGTGGGGAGTTTCCGAGGAGATGGGGGTGGCCTTTTTTCAGGGGGGGGGGTGTCCGAGTAAGATTGATGAGCTTTTAAAAACTAACAGCTGCTCTGCCAGAGCAACAAGAGCAACATGAAAGTATGTTTCACTTGTAAGTTCGCAGCTACTGCGGAGTTGGTACGTGTGCTTCAGTGCATAATTTGTTATAAGTTCACAGATAGCCCACATGTAGTTCAGTACTTACATGAATATGCCCCGGCATACCATTCCCCTCATTTGAACCTGTTACCCTTCCATCCAAAGCCCAGGCATAAGGGTGGTCATGGGTAATTCCTGTTGCCATAGAAACAGAGCTGGGTTCTGGCTCGTCTAGGTCCATATTGCTATCAGTATCACCATCCAAGGGCCCCAAAATATCATGTTCCTCGTCAGAGTCACTGTCACTGTCCAGTAAAGAGCTCCTTTTGGTGACGCTCCTTGAGAGTCCAAACGGTGACACTCTAAAGGGACTCGGAGAGGGTTTCTTATTAGGAACCACGGATGGTCCATCTGTGATGTTCGCCAGTCTGATTCCTCGACAAGATGTGACGTTCTGTGATGGCCTGCTCGGTTGAATTCTTATCCAGAGAGAGAAAGAGAAAAAAGACAGCGTGAAGGGATTAAAGAGGCAAAGCTTGTGATAACCATGATGGGCTACGTAAAAAAGATTTAGGATTGAGATAACACGATTTCCTTCTACGACAATTTATTTTTTTTGAGCGTCCACCCTCAAGAGTTTTATCTCAAGATCTCTCTTACAAACTGAACTAGCTCTAGCTGCAACCACTTTAATGAATTCCCGGAGTGGTCACTGACAGGAGCTTTCACTGCAAAAGAGTCTCAGAAACTTCCCACCTACCCCTCTCCTAACCCAACATTTTGTCTATGGTGAAAAGGTAATGTTCACGTTGGTTAAGGGGAGGGTAGGTAGGCCAGTTTGCCACATAAATCTCATCCATATCTGATAATTGTTACCTTTGAGCAGTCCTGAGCAGTGGATCATGCCCTCTGCCAGATGAATCATGAGGTCCACTGACTCGAATCCCTGAGTGTAAAATAAGACGACTGCTCAGTGCCTCTACAGCATCACTAGTACAAAATTCTAGGGGGCATTTTTAGGAGGCCTTAAGCGCCTACTGGCGCGAAGAGACTTCATGATGATGAAACAAGGTGTATTATGGGAAATGTTAGTCTAATCCAGGCTCCAAGAAAGTAATGTGCAAAAAAATCGTGGATTTGGCTTGACCTGTTTTCACGACCTCCCTACTATATGAGGGCCTGACATATAAGCTAGGGAAAAGCTCAAGTTAAAACCCGGAAAATTGACAACACAGTTTGGGGGCGCGTAGAGTAAGATTTTGAAGGTGTACATGTACACACGGGAAGAAAGGTCAGACCGCCGAAGGCACTCCAAATTAGTGGGGTCTAGGGGCATGCACCCCCAAAAATGTTTCAGATTTAGGGGCTCAGAAATACAATACAATGCGAAAGATTTATCAAACATCCCGACTTAATGACAAAAATGCTTTCATGAAATAGAAAATGTATATTTTTCCAGATTTCAGCTGTATGCCAGGGCGTATGTGCGAATATGGGCGCCAGGCTCCTGGTTGGTAGCCAAGATCACTTTATGACCTACCTGGTCTACACTGGAATCTTGCTGGATATATTCCTCCATTTTGATGTGGGATGCTGTTGCTGATGGAGGAACCAGTGGAGCGGGGTTGGGGTTTAGCCACACCCTCTCTTACTGGAAGAACAGAGGCTTCTGCTGCTTCTACCAGCTCGTGAGCAGCCAGCCAGGAAAATGAGCGCAAGATCATTCTGCAATGATAGCCAAATTATTTTGGTGAAAAAAAAAAAAAAAAAAGAGGAAAAAAAAAAAAAAGGGGGAAAAGCGGGAGGAAGGGGAGAGGGAGGACGACGCCAGAGGGGGCAAAAGCCAAAATAATAAAACGGCAAAAAAGGAGGAAGGGGGGGGGGACAGAACAGAAGAGAAATGGCTACAACTCACCCAAAGGAAAAAAAAGGTTACCCCCCACCTCCCTTAACGGGAGAAACGGGGGCTTTGGCTGCTCCTCCCGGCGCGGGGGGAGCAAGCAAGAAAAAGGAGGAAAAGATATTTTTGAAAGAAAAGCAAATTTATTTGGGGAAAAAAAAAAAAAAAAAAGAGGGAAAAAAAAAAGAAGGGAGCTAGGCGGGGGGGGGGGGTGGTGGGTGGTGGGTGTTGGTGGGGCTTAGTCTCTTAATTATTCACAGCAGACAATGGAAATAGCCCTTATGTACTATTACGAACAAATTTCGCCACCAAGCCACGTTTGTAAGCAAAATTCTTCGCATTTATTTTGCACTCTTTATGTAGAACATTCTTTTCAACTGTACTGCCTTAGGAATTCAATCATGCAAAACTTCACTAACAACTTCAAAACGAGGCCTGGTGCTGAAATTTGCTCGTCTTTGGCTGGCTTAACCCGAGAACGGAGATGATCTACAGTATATAAACCGAACTAATGTATATACGTGGAAGAATATTTCTCTTCTGTGGTTTATTCTCCTTCAAACGGAATGTTACAATAAAGTTCTTGAATAGTTTTGGGAATGGAAAAATTTCTTTAAGACATTTTATACCCTTGAACGTACCTGACTTTCCTCTTGAACTCTAGGTTATCACTTTGACTGTTTCTGCCGCTACTTGACGAGGAGTTTGATCCAAGCCTAGTTCGAAGATCAACATAAGACAAACCAGACCTGCTAAGATGTACGGCCAACTGTCGGATTACAGATCTCAGAAACTTGACTCCCACAGTCATAGCCACCTCTCTTGGACTTGAGGCACTGTTCAGCTCACCTACACCCTGAACAGCTTCGAGAGTGATACACTCCGAGTACTTGTTCATCTCATTAACGATGGTCTCCACAAAGCTGATCAGGACAGCTTCGTCAGCATGTGACAGCAGTTCAAACACAAACGAGTCAAGCGCACATGATTCCATAGGGCCAGCACGGGATGATGATTTCTGATCATCTCCACTGGAGTCCCTTGGTACCTCCACCATGTTAACATCTGAAGGATCCTTTGGATAGTACCCAAGTACGGTCGATGCAACTAAAGGCCAGCATTGTGTGAGCTGTATCAAAACAGGCTGGCTCTCGCAAGACAGGTCATCAGTAACAATCGTGCTAGTAGTGGGAAATGACATCAGATTAGGCTCTGCTGATTGATTTTCAGCACCTGATGCTGAAGCTTCATCCGTTGAAACTCCATCCGCTGAAGATCCATTCACAGCTGATCTTGCCTTGTCTTCAGCAGCTCCTGATGCTGTTTGCTGCTGTCCTTCTCCGGTTGAGCACCTTCTTTCCAGAGCAGTCAATGTATCCACAATACTGCGGAAGCTACTTGAGATGTCATCAAGCTGCGCAAGCAGGTTACTTTCCAACATGGCAGGATCAGCTATTCCCGTTATATTTATTTCTGCCATGATCTGATCCTCTTCCTTCCCAGTGTCTGAAGTTTCGGACGGCGTTGATACCTCTCGTCTGCTTCCCCCAGGGGATGTTGCTTCTTGTCCAAACAAAAGATTCCCATACTTGGTCAGCAGCAGTCTTTGGTTGGCAGAAAGCTTGATCCAGCGTGAATTATTTACCAGGAACGCCAGAGAAGTCTCGCCTTCCTTGTTCCTGGCCGTCGCAATCTGAAAACGGGTACGAGACCCAGTCACTAACAGCCACCCAATATTTGCTACTTAAGAAACCAGAAGTGGGCTGAGTTAGCTTTTGCAAGGACTTCTGGGATGGTTACTAGGGATGCACCGGTCAGCTATTGGCCAATTTTTTTCCTTGTCCCCAGTAACAATCCCAGAAGTCTTTGCAAAAAAAAAAAAAAAAAAAAATTGCCCCCTTTTCTTTTTTTACACCCGAAAGAAAAAAAAACTAGCCAAAATTTCAAAAAAATTTCGCTAGTGTGCGAACACAAAAAAAAAATACAATTATACAATATCAAACAAAACTATTCTGATTATAATCCCATTGAGAAACCAAAAATGGGGTTGAGTGAGCTTTTGCAAGGGCTTCTGGGATGGTTACTAGGGATGCACGGGACAGGTTTTGGCCAATTTTTTTCCTCGCCCCCAGTAACAACCCCAGAAGTCTTTCAAAAAAAAAAAAAAAAAAAGTTGGCCCCGTTTCCTTATATCACACCGGAAAGTTGAAAGTCGTGTCCAAATTTCAAAAACACTGAGCGAGTGAGCGACTTGCACTATAGATTGCAATTTTACTAATCTCAAACACTTACTTCTGGATATGACAACAGGCGAGAAAATAGCTGGCATATTAGCTTATCGTCTTCAGCCTAACAAAAGAAAAACAAATTATTTTGAATTAGCACCATCTTCGGTGTAAAACTGAATCTTGGAGAAATAATTGCGACAAAATCACAAAAGTTAAACATTAAGGAACTGGATTCTAGTTCTGTTAAAAGCGTAAAGAATGTGTACAGGCTCCACTTTACAAGTATTGTATTACTGTGTTGTAAAACCAAATAATCAAAATGCCGGACTAAATTTTACGTTGCTTTATGTAAGCATTTACAGTATTCCAACACACGCTAGTGGAGGAATCTAACTTAAAGACTGTGTCACAGCTGTCGAGTACAATTTGTTAATAATGCCAATTATGCGTCCTTACTCTCAGTGGAACTTGAGAAATAATTTACTTACTAATGACAATATCTGATTTCCGTGTCAAACAAATATGTCTCCCAAGCATTATATCAAACTTTCCAAACAATTAAAATGAACTTTGAAAAACTGTTAGGCCGACAAGTTTTCGAAAACCACAATATTGCAATCCGTTTCAATCTTCTTCAGATTTGTCCAGCTGTTCCTCCTTTTGTATTTGCTGCGTTATTCATACCTTCTTTGAATGTTCTGAGCAATAATTTTGACGTTTCTCTTAGTTTGTTGGGTAACTGCCCACCTTCCTCCCCATAAGCCAACATTAACACTTACTTCTCACTTACGGCAAAATGTTGGCTTAAGGGAGGGGTAGGTGGGCAGTTTCCCACTGCTTGAATTTTGGCAAATTTTGTGACACAGCTCCTTTATTAGATCTAGTTTACTTAGAAACCATCTAACTCACTGCCATTTTGTCTTGAACAGCGTCAGCAGTTTGAGCTTTAGGAGTTATCTTGGCCTTTCCTTCAACATTGGATACATTGTAGACATTTCCTCGGACACCCACCTCCATGTCAAGCTTTTCCGTCTCTTCTTTCTCCAACTGAAAAGCAAATGTTACGATTTGAAAGAAATCAGGCTGTCTAATAATTGAACGAGCCTCGTTTGATTGACATATCACACTGAACCCAGGAAAGACAGAGATGACAAACATAATAGATGCTTTTGGTCTCGCAAGGTCCCTTACGCGTTTCGTGAATTCGCCCACATCTGCAAACAAAAAACCCCTACTTTTTTGTTTGTTAATTGTGTTGTGTTCACACAACTACTTAGAGGCCACACGAAAATCAAATAATTGGTTTACTGACACAATGTATTTGTCTCTTGGTCAAGGACTCGGAACAAATACGGTGGAACCTCTACTAAAGGCTATCATCCGGCCCAGTGTTACTTAGTCAGAACTGACGAACCAAACCAGCCCATTCACAAGTCAACTAAAGAAAAATCCACTATTAATCAGACTTTTCCATCTAGATCAGTCTATTTCTAAACACAACGCAAAGCTCTTGTTTTAGAGGAAAGCCCATTACATTTTCAAGACGGCTGGTCCGACTGGCCAATTCTGAACTTTTGTAAGAGTGCTTAAACAAACACCTTCCCCTCCTCTAATCCAACATTAACACTTACTTCTCAGTTAAGAGAAAATGTTGGCTTAGGGGAGGGGTAGGTGTGCAGTTTCCAAGCAACCTAAATCGGGCCCCAAAAGGCATGGGTGGGTTGGGTAAATGAAATATCGATGATTTTGCATGAATGTATGACACACCTCAGTAAGTTTTACACGCAGTACATGCTGTACTAAGCTGGCAAGCCCTCCTTCAGGAGCAGTCATCTCACTTGACACCATATGGTGATCCATCTCCACAAGAGCTTGTCTCAGTTCTTTTGGATCAGCAAATGTCACCATGCCTAAGCACCATTCAAAAGGGAAAACAAATTAAATTCTTGAGTTTGTGGACCATTTAAATGAAACTGCTTGTAATTTATAATGGTCCTCTTGAGAATTTCCACTCCACAACTTTAATTGATAGCCGTGTATGAAACATATCAATGTAACAAGGTACAAACTATAACAAGTTACTGTGTAATCTTCAAAATGTCTATGAGAAAACAAATATATTGGCGAACATTGCCGTATAAATTCCGTTTTACAGAAATCTCTCGAAAATGAATACCCAGGTGTGGATCCACACAAGTTTGCACCGTTTTACGGAGATCGGACAGATTTGTCAAAATAAACGTATTTTTAATAATATTAATAAAAATAAACTATCCAAGTTGAAGTCGCCAGATGAAATAATCCGTCGATCTGCAAGACTATCATCTGGGGAGAATAGAACTTGCCATTGGCCTGGCCCCATATATCATTCTTTGCTAATGGTGAACCCCCACTGGCCTCCCCCTCGAAATGGCCATTTCAAGGGGGAGCATGCCCCCCACAGCCCCCTAGAAGCTTGCACCTTCAGCACTCGTTTAGTATCGGTCAGTATTTATTCTTGATCTGCGCCTGCATACCTCTCATAGAAGTGATTTTTCCCTTCCTTACAGAGAGTTGAATATGTTGTACCCATTCTCATTCCAGAATAATATTACATGTCTAAGCCAGTATGTAGATGTCATCTACATGAAATACAAAGTTATTATGCCGCAATACTTCTCTTTGACAGTAGAGACAGTGTGAGGTCTGGAATCATGTCCTGCACGTTCAAAACAGTGCCTTGAATCCCAGAACTATGCTATGAATAGCCCAGCCTACTTATGAATAGCCATTTGTTTTCCTTAAAGATAGCAGTGCAAGAGGAATGCATGGGTGTGTGTAAAACTCATGAGAGTTCTCTCTCTTCTCTTCGTGTCTTCTCTTTTTGCATGTGGCAACTTCCGCTCACGCTCGCATATTTGAGGATTTTATTTTATCTTTCTCTACCATCCCAGAGGAAAATAAGGCACAATTCTAAGTCTACTAAAAACCCTTGAACTAACAATATTTTCTATAGCAGCTTTTGGGATCGGTATAAGATTCTAGAAAAAAACCCACCTACCCCTCCCCTAAACCAACATATTGCCCTTAATGATAAGTTAGTGTTAAGGTTGGTTTGAGAGGGGAGTGAGTAAGAAGTTTCCTAGAATCTTATACTGATATAAATCTTACCAACTAGCGACTCTCGTCGATTGCCAACGATAGGTATTCTTCCACCTTCTCCAACATAACGTCTTGACCAAGGATTGTAATTTATACTTGAAGTAGCTGGTGTCAACAGTGATCCCCTTTTGCCTTCAACAGTTTTTTTGTGCACCTTCTTCACCTTCACTTTGTGGTGTTTTTCTAAGAACCGTTGCTTTGGAGTTTTGGTACGATAGCACTGAAAACAGTAAAACACACCACAACAAAGGAATTTAGTTTTTATTATTATCATAAAGAATAAATGATTTTATTTCACTGAAGTGGAAGGTTGAATTTCTGGGCCAAATTTCTCTAAACCCAGCTAGCGCTCATCCAGGGTAAATTGTGAACAGAGCATGCAAGTTGCCATGGTAACTAACTTTGTTTAATTTCAATAAATGATATATCAAACAACTCCATCCTGCTAACAAGAGACAGATTAACTAAAGGGAAATAGTCTTCAGGCATTTTTCTCTTCCACTTCATAGTTTGTGAATTCTTTATTGGTTGACATGAGTCAAACATAATCTCCTGGGTCAGGTTGTTCAAAGCTGGGTTAAGATAACCTAGGGTTAGTGCAAAATTGTAATTCAAATAGGAAAGCTTAGAAAGCAAATTCACTTCAAACCTTTTTGTTGACACTTTTATGATTGGATGCTCTAAAAAGAAAATGCTTTTGAACAAAAGAAAAAGAAACCCGGATTAAAATTTTGCCCTGGGTTAGCGCTAATTGGCCTTTGAACAACTGGGCCCTGAAGTGTACTTTATGCTTCTCTTCTTTGCTTCACTCTGCCACACTCAGATCAATTCCACATTACTCTCTTACTTTATAAACTTCAGTCAAGGCATTAGAGGCAATCGTATTTGACAGACTTATGAAACTTAGGTCTGATCCACGTGTGATGCAAATGCAAAGGCAAGTGCATGCAGCAACACAAGAAATGGAAAAATTTTCTTGCTCTTACATTTGCACTCCTGAACACATGAACAAGGACATCACAAAGGCAAATACAAAAAATTAATGCAAGGTTCCATGCCGTCATGGTTCGGTGGGAAGAGACTTGGACTGTGCCTGAATATCTTGATCTTCCTTGTGTTCTGATGGACGTGTGAACATCATTTCCTTCAGCATTTGCAGCTGCATGAGCTTAAAAGTACTGGCCTCAAACTGTTTTCAAATTTCTACCTTGGAAAGTGACTATACCTTTCTCCCTTCCATTGTAACGGGTGGTATTGTGGCCCTGTAGGCTGACGGGTATCGTGCTTGAAACAGCTTCAGTAGAATCCTTGGAGTGTAGCTTGATGGAAGGTTAGTGACAGTGAGACTGTTCCCCAGTCCGCTGGGGGGTAGATTCTCTGTGCAGGCAATAGCAAGCGCATGAAGGGGTGTTACACCACTAAATGCTTCAGGATAAATCATTTCCTCTACTGAACACTGTAATTTGGGGTTAGTGTTTCCTGTAAAAGGCAAAGGAAAAGTGTNTGCTTGAAACAGCTTCAGTAGAATCCTTGGAGTGTAGCTTGATGGAAGGTTAGTGACAGTGAGACTGTTCCCCAGTCCGCTGGGGGGTAGATTCTCTGTGCAGGCAATAGCAAGCGCATGAAGGGGTGTTATACCACTAAATGCTTCAGGATAAATCATTTCCTCTACTGAACACTGTAATTTGGGGTTAGTGTTTCCTGTAAAAGGCAAAGGAAAAGCCTTGGTAAGGTTAATCGGTACAGTAGGTTATCCAGAATGAGGCAGTTATGGGCGTTTCTACAACATGTATACTTCTTCCCTGGAAGGGACACTCAGTCCTTCAGATTGTTCCCACAGCATGTTACTACAACTGTAGCACCTACATACTTGGGTAAATTTAAGGTGGGTATGGTAATTTTGAGGACTACCCCTACCCCTTGGGGCAGAGAAATACAATTCATAATAAGATAGTTTTGTTTTGTATAGTCCATTCCATGTGCAACCATCTCATGTAGGCACTCACTTTTTAAAATACCAAAATTTTTCTGGTCAAAGCCCTACAGTTAAAAACTCTTAGGGGATAAAAGATGTGGAATTCTCCTCAGTTTTAACCCTCTTGTCTGTATGTCACCAATTGATGCGTAGTCTGATCCTTATGGTTGTTCTATGTACTATGCTACTTGGATTATGTTATGAAAAATTTTTTGTGACAACAAGGAACTACAGATATCATATCAGTATTTCAAATTGCATGCAATAAAATAATTCTCTACAATGAAAAAGGTGTCCAAACAAATCTCGCAAAAGACCCCCTGCCCGCCTTGAGGTTTGATTTTTGTAAGTGACCTCCTCCCAAAAGTAACCACTATAAAACCTACACACTTTTGGCTGGTCACTAGTGGGATATTTGAATGTATTAAGAAGGTGGTATAAGGTACAAGGTGTTGACCCATCAAACTGCATTTTCTGCTAATGATAATACCAGTGCATTTTGTACTATGTGCTGTAGAAACCACAAGGGGCTTCTGCTCTTACTATAATAAACATTTTGGGACTTTTGTTGAATGTAAAATTTATGCAACTTACATTTGGCAGCAAAAAAGTAATATTGTGATCTGAATAGTGGTCCTTACACAATTATGTGTAAATAAAATAATACGAAGAAAAATGAAAGATTTATAACACAACATTTCGGGGTCCTCATGACTACATTATCAAATTAGATGCAAATAATATAACAATCAAACAAATGCAAGAGATGAGGAGAAAAAAAAAATGTTTAGTTAAAATTAATACCTTTATTGTTCTCAACAAAATCCAGAATGTATAAAGCAGCTTTCAAGTTATGGTTTTGTATAGCTGTCATGAATGGAGTGTAGCCACGAGCATCACGATCTTTAAGCTATAACAAAACAAACTGGGCTTATAAGGGTTGGAAAGTACATGTAGATTGATTGCCTGCACTAGGTATAAAAATTTAAACTTTCTTTAAATACCCAAATCAAGCATGCAGTTTACAGGAGACAGATCAATAAAATATTGGGGCATTGAGTTTCTCAGGCTCGGAAATATGGGCAACATTTTTTGATGAACAGTGCTGCAGTGCAAGAAGAAAATAATAATAATAAAAAAAAACAATGAAATAATGTTGCATGTTTTAACATTAATTTTACTAGTCAGATATGCAGTTGTTGTACTGGTTCATCCCACATTCTACATTGTTAATTTTCATTTATAAATTTGCATGATGAGCCAAATTTGCTTCAGTGACTGTGGTAACATGGAAAATGATCCATGTCAATGAACAAAGACTCAAAATAGCCACTAGAAACTGAAATATGGACTTTTATAATTATCAAAACACTTTGGGATTGTAAAAAGATGTGGGCTTGGTTCCAGACTGGTTTCTGACTAATAATAGAAGAGCTTGCAATGGTCTTGACTGGAAGACTTGAAGATTTGCACCATATCCAGGAGACAAAAGAAGAGCACTTGACATGTGTTAATTAACTATTAAGGGAGTAACCTCATGACCATAAAAAAGCAGCTTATGACTTTACTCACCATTGGAACAAGCTCTTTAGCAAAAATGGAATCATTAAGAAGAAGGTGTAATCCTGCCACATCAATCGGGATATCCTTTGCACCATCAGAATCAAGGTCTGAAGATCCACCACCATCTGAAATATAATTTTGTTTTTCCTGTTCTTGATATCTGCTATTTTATTACATAAACACTCGTGAACTACTGTACCATGCTAGCTATTGCGCAAAAACATGATATCTTCAGCATGGTCAGCTTGGCTTGGCATGGCTGCCAGTTGTGGGTGAGATCAATGTTGCTACGGTTACATAATGAATCATGCCTCTCAAGGCAAAAGATATCACAGTGAAAATGGTTTGGTACGTCAGTGGTGTTAATACAATAAATAGAACATTACATGACCACTTAAAGATACAAATTTTCTCTTCTTGTGTTGAGAAATATTCCACTCAATTGCTGTACTCGCCTTTGAAATATTGTTCTTACACAGGACAAGAAACTTCATATCTCTGCAATGCCATGTAATATGATCTTTTTATGTTTCAATTTGTGTTCACTGACAGTGTTCTCCTTATCAGACGGTAACAGGTGAAATATACCACCTGAAGCAACACTTCTTACTGCCTGTAACTGGCGCTTGAAGGTTTACTAAAATTAAATGAGTAGTTTTAAAGAAATAAGCAAGTTGTGATCCGATCCAATCAAGGAAATGGATGAATATAACATGAAAAAAGTACTAAAGTATACATGTACCCAGCTTTTCTTATAATAGGCCACGCATTTTGGAAAGAGAAAATTGAAGACAGAGTAAAATTATTGGGAATAAACGTTTTGAATTGTTGTCTAAAAATAACAACAGCCGATTTGCGTAAAAGAGGTCTTAAAATGAGGGAATGATGTTTCAAACAACTTAGCTCCTCCTAGGGTGGGGCCATGTCTCTCACTCCCCTATTCCTGTTTTACTTTACTTTCGATGATTTAATTAAGGTTTACAACATTTATAATTAACATAAATTGTATTTGTTGCGAAAAAGGTAAGATCAAAACTGTGTTTGTTACCGAAAATTTCCGGAGTCGAAGTGCCTCCCTGTTTGTTACCGAAAATTTCTGGAGTCGAAGTGACTCCCTCCGTAACCTCAGTGGAGTCATCTGAACAATTTTGGCATAAAATACGCCAAATTTGGCGTATTTGCGAACCCTGGTTTTGTATAGTCCATTCCGTGTGCAACCATCTCATGTAGGCACTCCCTTTTTAAAATACCAAAATTTTTCTGGTAAAAGCCCTACAGTTAAAAACTTTTGGAGGATAACAGATGTAGAATTCTCCACAGTTTTAACCCTCTTGTCATGTGCATGCCCACTTGATGCGTAATCAAATCCTTATGTTTGTTCTATGTCCTATGCTACTTGGAGTATATGAAGAATTTTTAGTGACAACAAGGAACTACACATATCATATCTTTAAAATTGCATGGCAATAAAATAATTCTCTACAATGAAAAAGGTGTCAAAACCACTGTTAGAAAAGACCCCCTGCCCACCTTGTGGTTTGATTCTTGTCAGTGACCACCTCCCAAAAGCAACTACTATAAAACCTACACTTTTGGCTGGTCACTAGCGGGATGTTTGAATGTATTAAGAAGGGGGTATAAGGTACAACATGTTGACCCATCAAACTGCATTTTGTGCAACTGATAATAACGGTTAATTTTGTAGTATCTGCCACGGAAACCTCAAGAGGGCTTCTGCTCTTAGTATAAAATTAATGTCTTGGGACTGTTGAGTGTAAAATTTATGCAACTTAAATTTGGCAGCAAACAAGGAACATTTTGGTCTGAATAGCGGTCCTTACATAATTATGTGTAAATAAAATAATACAAAGAAAAATGAAAGATTTATAACACAATGTTTTGGGGTCCTCATGACTCCATTATCAAATGAGATGTGAATAATATAACAATTGAACAAATGCAAGAGATGAGGAGAAAAAAAATAATTTTTAGTTAAATACCTCTATTGTTCTCAATGAAATCCAGAATGTACAAAGCAGCTTTCAAGTTATGGTTCTGTATAGCTGTCATGAATGGAGTGTAGCCACGAGCATCACGATCTTTAAGCTATAGTAAAAAAAACTGGGTTTATAAGGGTCTGAGAGTATGTGTAGATTGATTGCCTGTGCTGGTTATGAAAATTCAGACATTCTTTAACTATCCAAATCAAGCATGCAGTTTACAGGAGACAGATCAATAAAATATTGGGGCACTGAGTGTCTAGGGCTCAGAAATACATGTATGGGTAACAAAATTTTTTTAATGAACAGTGCTGCAATGCAAGAAGAAAATAAAAAAATTATGAAATAATGTTGCATGTTTTACCATTAATTTTACTAGTCAGATATGCAGTTGTTGTACTGGTTTATCCCACGTTGTTCATTATTAATTTTTATTTTATTGCATGATGAGCCAAATTTGCTTCGGTGACTGTGGTAACATGGAAAATGATCCGTGTCCACAATCAAAGACTCAAAATAGCCACTAGAAACTGAAATATGGACTTTTATAATTATCAAAAACAATTTGGGATTGTGAAATGATGAGAGCTTGGTTCCAGACTGGTTTCAGACTAACAAGAGAAGAGTTTGAAATAGTCTTCAATAGAAGACCAGAAGATTTGCGCCATATCCACGAGACTAACAGATAATCCTGAAGAGCACTTGCATTAACTTAACTTGTGTTAATTAACGATTAAGACTTAGTAAACCCATGACCATAAAAAAGCAGCTTATGAGTTTACTCACCATTGGAACAAGCTCTTTAGCAAAAATGGAATCATTAAGAAGAAGGTGTAATCCTGCCACATCAATCAGGATGTCCTTTGCACCATCAGAATCAAGGTCTGCAGATCCACCACCATCTGAAATAGAATTTTGTTTTCCCTCTTCTTGATATCTGCTATTATATTACATTAACACTTGTGAAATACTGTACCATGCAAGCAAAAATATTACACAAAAACATGATATCTTCAGCATGGTCAGCTTTGCTTTGCATGGCTCCCAGTTGTAGGTGAGATCAATGTTGCTATGGTTACATAATGAATCACACCTCTCATAGCAAAAGATATCACAGTGAAAATGGTTTGGTATTTCATTGGTGTTAATACAATAAATAGAACATTATGTGGCCACTTAAAGAAATAAATTTTCTCTTCTTGTGTTGAGAAATATTCCACTCATTTCCTGTACTCAATTGTGAAATATTGTTCTTACACAGGAAAAGAAACTTCATATCTCTGCAATACCATGTAATATGCTCTATTTATGTTTCAATTTGTGTTCACTGACAGTGCTCTCCTTATCAGGCGGTAACAGGTGAAATATACCACCTGAAGCAACACTTCTTACTGCCTGTAACTGGTGCTTGAAGGTTTACTAAAATTAAATAAGTAGTTTTAAAGAAATAAGCAAGTTGTGATCCGATCCAATCAAGGAAATGAATGAATAGTACTAAAGTATACATGTACCAGCTTTTCTTATAATAGGCCACGCATTTTGGAAAGAGAAAATTGAAGACAGAGTAAAGTTATTGGGCCTAAACATTTTAAATTGTTGTTTAAAGTTAACAACGGCTGATTTGCATAAAATAGGTCTTAAAATGAGGGAATGATGTTTCAAAGAACTTAGCTCCTCTTAGGGTGGGGCCACCAGGGTGAGGCCATGTCTCTCACTCTCCTACTCACCCCCCCTCCAAGAAAGTGCAGCTCTGGAGCATATTTTTTGCCTCACCGGCCATGAATGCTTCCTTACCTACTGATTTAAAACTTAGGGAGAACACTGCAATGAATAACAAAGACTTATACATGTTAGTAACCCTCTAGAGCTCATCTGAAGAAATTAAATAAGTATGCTACAGCTGCAGGTACTAATCCTAGCATTTACGGGAGTTTACTACTACCTTGTAATAGGTTCATAACATCTGCTTGTTGATCCTCAGCATATGATGGATTGCTACAGCAAATATGCACAACATTCTGGTTAGAGGAAGAACGTTGATGAAGGATCTGTAAAACCCTTTTGCTGATTACAGCTGCATCCCCCGAAGGTCTTGTTTCTTGCTGAATTTGCCCATGACTTCCAGTGATAGCCATTTTTTTGGTACCCTTTGGTCTACCTTTGCTACCCTTTCCCATATCTTTGCTGGAGTTGAGTTGCTTTAACCACTGTAATGCTTGCTTGATCCTTTGCACAATCCCAGATTGCACAGCTTGCAACAACCTTTGCTCTTGAAATGCTGGTGAACAAAAAAGAGATAACAAGGTCAGCAAATTCACCACTTTAGAAACAAGAAAGGAACTGATGCTGAAACATGTCTCGCAATTCTTTCTGGGATTGTTACTGGGGACGCAGTGGTCAGCTATTGGCTGATTTTTCCCTCTCCCTATTAACACTACCAGAATTCTTTGTGAAAGTTAACTTTGCCAAGTTTCCTTTTCTACTTTTAACCCTTTGAGTCCCAATAGTGCTCAAAATCAATTTTCTCCTTACGATATCCACAGTCTATCATGAGCAAAGTCTATGAGAATTAACAAAATGATCACAAAGAGAAAAATATTTTATCTTTTACCAAATTCTCTCAACTAATTCTTAAAGGAAATGTATGGAGATCAGTTTGGAGAATTTGTATGTGGATATTGGGGCTTAAAGGGTTAAAGTGGTGAATTCACTTTAACACTTCTGGTATTTGAGAGGGTACACTGTACTGGTCAGCAAACACTTTCGTGTCAAAAATTGCACAATAACTGTGTTTGACAAAGCACAAAACACTCTAAACACAGATTGGAGAGAGAGTGAAAGGCACAACTGACATTAGACATACGATGTATACCAACCTATAAATACCATAAGAACTTTTTCAGGTGGAGAACAGCTTCCTGGTATTTGACCCAATCTTGTTCCGAGACCAAAACTTTGAATTGATGGAATTTCCCCTATGTTGGGGTTTAACAGCTTGGTGCCAAAAGGCCTTGGGTAAATGCAGCGATTGATATCAGTCAGCAAGACAATCTCACAGCCACTGGTTGAATGTAGCATAGGATATTTATGAGTTGACAAATGAACATTACATGCCAGAGGACTGTCAGCTTCAATAGCTGCTGTTACAGCACTTGGAAGACTCTCCATGTCATCATCATCATCGTCACTGTCGTCAACATCATCTTCTTCCCTTCTTCTCTTCTGACCAGTAACTGTCTTTCCCTGTGTATCTGATGATATTAGACATGTTGGTGCTAAAGCTCCTTCTTTACTATTAACTGATTCAGCTTCTACGGTACATGAACCATCATCATTATTGTTTGAAACATTAACATCACTACTGCAAGTGAAAACTTTGCTACTGTCAATTGCTTGTTCCATGGCTGGACCCAAGAAAAATGCCTTGCTGTCGGATAAGCGGTTGGTGACAAGAGAAATTCCCATTGAAGTAGTTGCCATGGCTAAAGGCTTAAGACCCGAAAGTAGTTCTTTGTTGCCTACATGTAGTTTGCCTGAACTGTTCACGATGCATTTTGGAGTATGCTGTATGCACCCTCTGTACAGTGAGCTTGTTGGCATTGACTGATTACCAGCAGTGCCTTCCGACATTTCACCCTCAGTAGGTACAGACTCGAGCTCTGAGACTTTGAAAACTCGCAGCGAGGAGTCAGATGGCGGTATTATGTTTGCTACTTTGACGATAACATGAGAGCCATCAATGGCAGCAACTGTGCCCAGCAGTTTGTTTTCACTTTCAAGAAAAACAACATCTTTGACCTCCCAAGTTTCTGAGCCATTCGTTGGCTTGCTAGAGCTTAAGGCTTTCCTTTTAACACTGGTATGAGGGCTAGAGGACCGCACTACATCCTTGTCACTTGAGATTAACTCTTCTTCAACAGTTCTTCCTCTTGGGGAGCTTACTGATTCTACATTTGAATGATCTGAGCCCCCCGGGTCACTAACAGGCTGTACACCACTTTCAATTTTGCCAGTCAGAGGCTCAACCCTGATTTTTGTTACAGTCGTACTACTTCCTTCAGGGGACTCATGACATATGAGACGCCCCACTATGGGTCCCCTCATCTCACAACATCTGTACACCAAAGCACCAGGAAAACCAGGGAAATGCTGGCGAAGCTGGACCTTCTCGTTGATGCCAATGTGGCTGGCTTCACTGGTCGCTTTGCTTAATTTCTGTTTGAAGTTTTGTCGTTCTTCTGCAGGTAACAAACCCCTATAAGAAGTAGCAAAATATATATGTTTGATGCTGTAAGTTATTTATTTGATTTATCCTCTATAACTATGTACAGCGATCTCCTTTATATGGACACCAAAGGGACAGAAGCAAGTATCCAAAGTTACAAAATTGTCTGTAATACAAATGGAAGTAGGGACTGTATGGAGTTTAGTATCGTTGGTATAAAAATTTTCCAAGTGCAGAATTCAGTGAAGAATACATGTGTAAGATACACGTATGAAATACCAAAGTTATTTGTGAAGCCTTGCTTATTTGATTTATGTAGGAGAAGGTCAATCATGAATATTGTTTTGTGCACTGTGCAACAGTCCGTTGTTCGCTGTCTACCTTACAATGATGATTTCACAGTGTGGTAACAATGTAAACAACAAAATACAAACTGACTATGGTATTAAAAAAGTCCCTTTTCACACCCAAATGAACATTACCAATGAACTTTATCCGGAAAAGAATTGCAAGGTTTTGTATACAAATAAAAAGTTTTAGTGAACCCTAACTTAGAGGATTTTGTTAAAAACTATTCACTGACTAGAGATCTCAAAGTCATTTCAATATTTTGTATTTGGTCTTGTGCCTTCAACATGCCAACACAACTCTTTCTTATCATCACAACTGAGGTTTAAGCACCACCACATTCTCTGGCAGTTCCAAACTTACCACCAGAAGACTTTACCAGACTCCGTCATCACACTGGTGAAAAATTCGCTGCAACTGATTGAGAGAATCTTTTCTCCCTGAAGTTCTGGAAATACCACTGCTGGATGGGAGAGTTCTTGTATCAAGGCTGGTGGGTCTCCACAATTGGATTCTGGAAAGGTACATTTAACATTATCAGAAAACATATAAGACAAGTAATAGCCATCCATCAATATCAGCAGTGATTTTGTTACCTCTGCGTCCTGTGTCCCAGACATAAAAATCCCCAAAGACATAAAATAACAATTCATGGCATGCATCGTGTAGGACACAATATTGATTGATTGATCTGAACATGTGTATTAATTTTGTAGAAATATCCTGTTCATAGAACAGGACAAGAAGTTTCTAAAACAACTATATTTTAATTTCAGTACACTAAAAAAACAGAGTTTGGAGTCTGTCTTCAGATTAACTGTCTGGTTACAAAAAAGCCCAAGCATTTTACAATTTGGACTCTTTTTTTTTTTTTAACTGGGACTCATTGGTTCTGCACAGGGACTCATGATTCTCATGATTTTTCCAAGATGAGTCCCAGGACTCACCATAACTATTTGGTAGCAAAATCACTATATCAGTAGTAATGGAACAGTATAAATGAAGGGGGCTATGTCACGAGGATATAGCTGTTTAAGGTCAACTTTGTGCTGAAGTCATTACTTAGTGCTTTTACATGTACATTGTATGTCTATGTAAAATTATCAAGAAATCAGTCATGGGTGATTCTTTCGTTTTCTGTCTCACGAGACTCGATTCTCGATAGCTTGTTATTAATTCTTAATTCACACAGAATCAAGAATCACGAATCGAGTTGACTACATGTAATTCATTTTAAATGTATTTAGTATGTACATTCATTTTTTTGAATGCATACAATGTAACTACAGTGTATGTGAAAATAAAGATCTTAATAAAGATCTGTACATGTACCTCTTAACAACTTGTCATAAAAAGTGCAAATTTTTCCACTTGTCATCACAAGAGAGCAGCGGACAGCAGATGACGCCAGAAGACAAACTTCTTCACTGTCCAATCCCAGTGTTTCTCCCAGTGGATGTGGCTTTGCTAATGGCAAGTAGGTTGGTTCCTGGGAGGAGGAAATCTCCATGGCAACAGAACATGCCATGTCACTTTCGTAAGACCAATGATATAAGATTCCAGTTCCTTTTTCAACCAGTAAAAATTCAGAATGCATGGCAGTGATATGAGAGAAAATAACTTCCTTACCCTAAAAGTAAAACAACAGATACAAAAAAAAAAACAACAAAATATGAAGATCAATGTTTCCTCAACTAATTAGTCTATAACTTTTAATGTACATGTAGCATAATAATAGTACTGTAGATTTTATCACAGAGCCATTGCTCCTTAATTCTGCAACATGGTAGCTATTTTTACAAAGTTACTGACCAGTTTTCTGAAATGAATAAAAATGGTTGTAGTCAATATTGTTTTATAGTTTGGTGCTCCAGAGTCATTCCATTTTAATAAAAAAACTGCACATGATGTGAGCAGACAGCACACACAGAAACTGTTCGAATTGCAGTAAGAACCAACGTACATTAATACAACATACAGGGCTCAAAATAGCAGCCAGCACTTTGACCACACTTGCCTGCAGCAACTTTTCACCGAAGAAATAAAAAGTGTCATGCTTTGATTGGCCAACTGAAATCGAAGTCTCTGTAAAGTTGTGGTAAACATTTCATATCATACAATACAGCAGCCAAGAAATGTTTTTAAATCTTTTTAGAAATATTTTAAAATGAGTAGAAAGAGTAGAAAAAGGTTTGGAAATTTAAAGCGTGCTGCAAAAGTTGAAAAGGAGTATTCTGGTTCACCGTGAAAAATTAATAATGTGTAAAAGAATAATTTGTTCAAGCGTGAAACATTTTTGTTTGTGTAGTCAAAAAAATGAAATGAATAAAAATGGTTGTAGTCAATATTGTTTTATAGTTTGGTGCTCCAGAGTCATTCCATTTTAATAAAAAAACTGCACATGATGTGAGCAGACAGCACACACAGAAAATGTTCGAATTGCAGTAAGAACCAACGTACATTAATACAACATACAGGGCTCAAAATAGCAGCCAGTTTTTTAACCACACTTGCCTGCAGCAACTTTTCACCGAAGAAATAAAAAGTGTCATGCTTTGATTGGCCAACTGAAATCAAAGTCTCTGTAAAGTTGAGGTAAAGATTTCATATCATACAATACAGCAGCCAAGAAATGTTTTTAAATCTTTTTAGAAATATTTTAAAATGAGTAGAAAGAGTAGAAAAAGGTTGGGAAATTTAAAGCGTGCTGCAAAAGTTGAAAAGGAGTATTCTGGTTCACCGTGAAAAATTAATAATGTGTAAAAGAATAATTTGTTCAAGCGTGAAACATTTTTGTTTGTGTAGTCAAAAAACCTACCTTTATGTTTCTTCACGTGTAATAAAGATTTATTTTGCATGAAAAGTTTTTTAGTGTCATTTGTGAAGCCTTTTCACTCGTTCAAATTAAAGTCAGTTTTGTATTCATATAGTCAACAGAACAGATTTCCTATGTTTGTACTTCACCCTGGTTGTTTCCTGTGCATTGAATGTTTAATTCTAAAGTTCCAAAGTAAATAAAGATGCATCAACTGGCATTTTTCACAAAATGAACTAGACAGCTGTGCCCTTTGGATCCTTTAAACCCAAACATCAAAAATTCAAATTCTCATTTGTTATCCCTAAACGTTTTCAATACATGTAGTGGGGAGAATTTGTTGAAGTATCAATAATATTATTAGATTCACCTTGTATTATCATGTCCTTAATTTTCATGACCACTCTGTTTTATAAAGCAGTGATATTACAAGGAAAAATTTGATGCTGATCACTCTTAGGGCTCAGGGCTGTGTTCTAGCAGAGCCCGGTGGCCCCTGGCGCCTAACTTTTGCCCTTGGGTGACTAGAAAATCTCAGATTTTTCATACAAATCATATGCTGGGCACCCTAAAATTAACAGGTTCAGAGCACTGGGCTCCCTTCAATTTTCCTGAGGGCCCAGCCTTGGGGCTTAAAGGGTTACCATACGGTACTTACATTTTCAACCTCAAGCCACTCCATTTCACCAATTTCTGGATAGCTGAAATCAGCATCACTGCAACAACTTGTACACTTGGTCACAACTGGCCTGCTCTCGCACCGCTGTGCACTAGAGGTTGGAGGTGTTCTTGGAAATGCACCTGCTTCTGCCAGTTGAGCTCTGACAACACGAGGCTCAAGCCGCAGTGATCCCCTGGACCCAAACATCTGTCCTGTTGTTGAGTTTGAATACAAAGGAAATGATACACCAGCTGAGGGAAATAGGAAGGGGGCAGAAAACTGCCTCAAGACTGGAAAATTGGTAGTAAAGACTGTTCTTTGCAAAAGAGTTGGTGACGAGACAGAGCGACGAGCACTGGAAGTGTGTGATGATGACAGTGAAGTACCATTACCTGCTAGATTTTCCACAGAATTTTCCTGACTATGAGTAGTTTTACTGTCTTGCTCTTTCAGATTCTTCTTATTATTTCCCTGATCTTCACTGGATACAGCTGCAGATTTAGTTGATGAAGATGATTGGTTGCCCTCGCTATGGTCGCCATTATTACGCCCTACAGTTTTAATAACTGAACTTCTCGTTTGCCCTGATGTATTTGCCTGCGAATCACGACTTTCGTTGTCGCCACCTGACGAGCTGGTACCTGGGAACTTGCCCAGTTGGGCTTCCGTCGTCGTAGATTCACTCATGCCTGACGATGGCACGGAGGATGGGATAAATCTCTGTGTTGTCCGAGTACCACTACCGAAGGTAGTCCTACTTAAAGAACGAGAAGAAGAAATACTAGGACCTCCAAATGCTGATGATCGTCTCGGGGCAGCGCTGGTTGTTGCTCCATTATTCAGATACTGGTTTTGAAGCTGTCTAGCATAGGCTTCATCGCTTTGAACTTGGAAACTTGGTTCATCTTGGCTCCGTTGGGAGTTCCATAGCTTCTTCGAAGAATCCAGATTTTTTGTAACACATTTAAACCTACAGACACGTCCATTATCAAACAATAAGCCCACAAACTCTGGTCCTACTGCAACTTGGAGTATTTGACCCGCAGAAAGGTCCGGTAGTGTGATGATATAATTTTTAGCTTCTTCTGACACTTCTCCATTGTCATTGGATTCATCCAGCACCTTATTAACGAGCTTGAATATTTCATCTTCGATGGCGTCTTTAGATTTATCTTTTCTTAGACGAACGAAAAGTATCCGAGGTGATATAAAATTTGTCGACGCATCGCTTTCACTGTCGTCGTCCGCCATACTTGAATTCCGTCTTGGGTGAAACTAGTTACCAGTTTCCTCACGAGTTCACGAGTTTATCTTGAACGTGACGCGCGATCGCGCTACAGCGTGACAGATAACATTGCGTGACAGGATATTGCCAGTCAACGCATAATTATGATGAACACAGTTAGCTCAAGCTTTTCTGAGTCTATTAACCTTTCTAACGTAATCCCTGAACGTCGTAATTACATTTCGCAAGTAACGAAAATTTTTGGATTTGCTCGGTGAAAAATATACGATTCTCATGGTAAAACTATAAAAAACGTCAATATTATTAATATTTTGGCTGTGTTATTAGATCTCTTTCCTCTGTTACTATCATTATCGGTTTCGGGTCGATTTGGAAATGAAACCTCATGGGATGTCCATGAAACCAATAGAAAACACCAAAGGAAAATGAAAAAGAATGATAGTAACGTTTTAAATTTTTACGTTGAGAATCGCATATTTTTTTTCTCATATAAATCCTCATTTTTTCGTTTCTTGCGAAAAGTCTTAACGACACTCCGGGATTACGTTACAGAGGTCAATAAAGTTACAGAGCCTGGGCTGCCTGTGAAGAAAGAAAAACAGATCAAATCTTAAACGGACAAAGGATAAAAGAACAAGAGCCACGTTCAGACATGAAACTTTTTGTTTAAACTGGTTATCTATCTCTCTGATCACCATTTCAAAGGATGGTTAAGGTTGGCCGTCGCTTTATAGGGCAGTCTTACACCAAGTACTACCCCACGAATAAGAATATTTCTCAACCTCGTTCCCAGGATCCTCTCCTACTCGGCCCCCGTGGCGAGAAAGGGAGCCGAGTAGGAGAGGACCCTGGGAACGAGGTTGTGCATTTCTCAATGGAAGCCTTGATAAAATGTATACTAGGCATCTTAGTGGATGAAGATGGATGAAGATTTATTGACACCAGGGCTGTCAACCCCCCATGTCTTCAAATATTGAGAATTGATAGGTAATGATAAATGACGTCTGTGTGAGGTCACATGATGTCATTTGTGCAAAATACTTGTTGACTNAGATCAAATCTTAAACGGACAAAGGATAAAAGAACAAGAGCCACGTTCAGACATGAAACTTTTTGTTTAAACTGGTTATCTATCTCTCTGATCACCATTTCAAAGGATGGTTAAGGTTGGCCGTCGCTTTATAGGGCAGTCTTACACCAAGTACTACCCCACGAATAAGAATATTTCTCAACCTCGTTCCCAGGATCCTCTCCTACTCGGCCCCCGTGGCGAGAAAGGGAGCCGAGTAGGAGAGGACCCTGGGAACGAGGTTGTGCATTTCTCAATGGAAGCCTTGATAAAATGTATACTAGGCATCTTAGTGGATGAAGATGGATGAAGATTTATTGACACCAGGGCTGTCAACCCCCCATGTCTTCAAATATTGAGAATTGATAGGTAATGATAAATGACGTCTGTGTGACGTCACATGATGTCATTTGTGCAAAATACTTGTTGACTCTTTGTTGACTCCGATTGTCACTGAATTTGCGATGACACAAAATGCGTATATAACATTGATGAGGAAATGTTTGATGTTAATATTAAAATAGTTAAGACAACACACAAAATAGTTGAAATTTTATTGTCGGAAAGTCAAGTCTACTGAAAAAATGGCATACTTTAGTGATAATCCAGTAGATTTCATTTTCTAATCTGGAGACTGGGAGATAACAGTCCAAAATCTGGAGTCTCCCAGATTATCCTGGAGAGTTGACAGCACTGTGACACAGTAGCTCAAATTTTAATTGTATATTTTCACTTTAAATATCATTCTTACTATACCATTTTTAATGATTTTTACGTGCATTTTTATAATTTTTAACCTTATTTTTATAACCTTTTATAGGGATAACCTCGCAGTCCACCTTTCTAAACATGTATTATGCCATGTATCATGTTTATATGCATATATGTATTTGAATAAAGTATTGTTATTATTATTATTAGTCAGATGGGGAGTTGACCAATATGTTAGTGGACTCTCGGACGGCATATTGGCCTAGTGTTGGTCGACTATCAATTGAGTATCAATCGATATATGGCCGATTGTCGCTTTTGATGACTTACAGTCGACACCCCGTATTAATCGGTTGATAGTCGGTCGGTTGACAGATCACCAACACTCAGCTGACACCTCAGTTGACTGTTGGTTGAGATGATATGTCCACTGACACTCGATGGATATTTCAACTAATATGTCGGTAGTCTGATACACACCTGTTGTTAGTGTCGTCGCCCAACATATGTCGGTCGACACTCCCAATAATAGGCCACTTGCACTAAGAGGTCACGTGACCATTATGCTTCCTTTAAATAATGACTTGGAATCCTGTTGATGACAAAAATTGACAGAGTGCATGAAAATTATCTTGCGCTCAAAATTTGAGAGGAAACGCATTTAAGGGAGATATTTTATGGCACTTTGATTTTTCAACAAAGTAGTATCGTTTGTATTGGCCACCATATTGGAGGGCATACTCTTACCCTCCAACATGATGGGCAAATCTAATTAACTCTTTGCTTTTATCTTGTTAAACGTTTGATAGTTATGCTCAAATGTGCTGTAAACATTACCACAGCATCTTTTCAACAATTTCCTTGAAGTTTAAAATTTCTGTTCAAAAAGAGGTAATTCATAGTTTTAAAAATCACTTTTTGGTCATGTGACCAGCTACGAAGGTACTCATTTTAAGAAAAATTAATGGTGCAGGTTTGAAAAACTAAATCTCTTTTATTTTGTTCAAGATATGACCCACTAATCGTTTTTTGAAGGCAAAATCCTATAACTTTCATTTCATAAAATTGATGTCACATGACCTCTTAGTGCAAATGGCCTTTGAACAAGCTAGGTGGTTCTTCTTCATAAGCTCCACTGTGAAAAATAAAGGTACCGTGACTTAATTTGTACTAAGTGTAAGATTTGATGAAACTGCGGACCAATATGTACTTCATGGAAGCCACAAGAGCACCGGTGATATACAATGTTTAATGTGTAGTATTGTGTCTTATGTCTAATGGTTAAAGGTAACAATGTAGTCATTTCTGATCATTATATGTTTCTGGGAAACTGCCCACCTACCCCTCCCCTAAGCCAACATTAGCACTTACTTATCACTAGCTGGATTTATTCATGGTAGTCCCTAGTTCAAATCCTTGACTACCCTTGTAAATAGCCAGCTGGTTTGCCTCCAGCCAGCTGGAATTCTTAACCCTGTTATGTTTGATTATATTTGAATTATTTGTTTCAGTCATTTGCTCAGCCCCACTAGCATAAGTGCTACTGCAGGGGGTAAATATAGGAATTAATTAAATTATTAATATTATAGAATGATGATGTGAACTGCAGAAATACATATTTTAAATGAAGACATGATAATTAAGGAATTGCAAATTAACCCCCCCAAAATTCATGACTTCAACAGAATTCGAACCCATGGCCTGATCTGCATAAGCGCTGCAGTGCTCTAAGCAATTGAGTTATGAAGTCCCATACATTGGGAGAAGGCCAATTTATGAATGTGTCTGCGCTAACACAGAAGCCATGGGTTTGAATCCTGTTGAAGTCTTGAAATTCTTTTTCAGGTTAATTTTCAATTGCTTAAATTGCAATTACCACTGCGACGATTTCAATTTTAAAATTTTTATTAATTTTCAAAATTAATAACTGTAGCAAGAACAAATACTCCAATTTGGTGGTTCTGACTTAACACCAGAACTGTTCAATTTGACATTTCCAATGAGAAGACAGTTGAATAAGCTAATATAAAAGTTCCCAACAAGATTATTAATATTGTTTGATCTTTACATTATTGAAAGCAAACCCTTTTTAAAACAGCGCTTAACCCTTATCCCTGTACTTCAGTGCTAAACCCTGTATTGAACTCTCCTTGCACAACTGTCTCTTACTCTGATTTCCCTACTTTTCTAAAAAATGTGCCCAAAAAATTTGTATAAGTGCAGTATAGCATGGCATAGTGTATAGCATTGTGTAATATACATAAGGTGTCCAACCTGATTTTACAGTCAAGGCAGGTAAAGCGTACCAGTGCAAGATTCTATTAACGAATTGATTATATGAAAAATTAATGAATCCCTTGATTATCCCTGTTACTAGTGTCAATTTTAAATGGGCATTCCTGCATGCATAATGAGTAGTGAATATTATTTTTATGACAATGTCTCTAAATTTAGTCAGACTGAAAATCTTTGAATGAATAAATTTTCTTCCAAGACATTTTAAAAATAAAAAAAAAAATTGTAAAATTCAACTTGTTTGTATCCTGCTTAGAGACTCAAAGCAACTTGCCTCTTAAATCCCGCTCTAAACGTGGTTGCTTATTACATACCCAGAGATGCCAACCACTAGATCCAAAATCTGGAGACTCTCATTTGCAGTCCCCCCCTCCAACATGAACCTCTCCCCCCTCACACATGAACCTTCCCCCTGCAACATGAATTTCTCTCTTCAACACGAGCCCATACTCCAACATAAACCATCCCCCAACCAAAAAATGTAAATCAAAGCAGTCCCGAGATTGTAATGTGGGTGTGGCTCAGGACATTGTACAAAGTCTTACATATCGTACAGGTTGTCAAAATTCGGCAATGATTGTCTCAGTGATAAAATACTCACAAAAAATTAATGTCTTGTCGATATATTTTTTTAATGTACTTTAGCCTGGAGACACTGAAACCAGCCTTGTAAATTATCATTTAAGATTGTGAAACATAAAATGTCCTTAAGAATATTATTTAATTCTACATTATTTCCTTTCTTGGTATACGACACCATTCATCTGTGCAAAATTTTACAAGAGTTCAGAGGCAAAACCAGCAGGCATTTGACAATATCTTTCAGCAGCTCTTGACTGTTGTGTCTTGATGAGGACCAGTATGGGCAATGTCTCAAATGCTTAACTGTGCTAACTCGACTGTATTAGTTTTATGTGCTAAAGGGAGAAAAAGAGAAGAAGAAGTCAGCAGCAACAACAATCTAATATCTCATATTTTGTGCCAGTAACAAACTCTTTTTCAAGTCCTAACTTGCTTTCACCTTAAAACTAAAAGCTGTCATTGATAAATTTTACAGACGTTGGTATTGTCCCCCATCATACAATGGGCCATGTCAAAAGTTGAGGGCTCTATTGTCATACCTTGTGACTCTCTAATCATCGTATGTAACTTTCCTGACCAATCAAAAGCAAAACCATGACCTTAAGCATAAATTTTTCCACGCTTAGCACTGGCTCTCGCACCTTTGAAGACTCAGTGAGGACCGGAAGAGTTGTGAATCCTTTACTTGACACTGCACAGGGACTGAAACATTGATCACGTTACTGAGACCTCGACAAGCGTTCTGTGAACTACAAATACAAAAAGAAAAAGTTTGTAAGAGTATTAAGTTACAATAATATTAGACATGAGCAAATTAACTTACCTTTCCTTCTCAATCTGCAAAAATGGATTAACAACAAGACATTTCACGACCCTACCCCTAGTTTTCTTGTGAAATGATGTCTGAAAAACAAGTGCAGAAACTCCATCCTGATGATGCTTCACTAGCCAGATCTGGGTAGTGGTGCGTCATCAATGTGGAATTTCTGCACTCATTTTTCAGATGTCATTTCAAGGAGAAAGCAATGGTGGCGTCACCAAATGCCAGCTGTTTTCTCAGGCTAGTTTATTAACCACACCAAAATTAGCCCATGTGTGATGAAAACTCAACCCTGGTCAGACACGCATAACGGGCCATAAGTGATCATTGACTATATAACTCTGAAGATGAATTGAGCAATTTTGTTGAAAGGATCATCACATCTTTTCTTGCTCTTTTTCCAAGTATCATATCAACAGTTTAAAATTGATTGTTAATTTTCACGGAATAATGAGGCCTAGGGACTAGGCAAATCGTTAATAAAATCTTCCAATCGGTGGATGGTTTCTCCTAAAGATTCTACACTGTATACCACACACAAGAAACTAGTGGCCAAAATGCTGGTGGCAGGGAAGTGCTCAAATCTAGGGGTAAGGGGACCAGGAGAGAAGCCCTCCTGGGAGGAGACAAGATCAAGTGGTACCGATGGTAGCCACCCTGGACAGGATTCCTGATCAGTCTCCAGGGGTGACACCCATATCCCCCAGTCACTAGGAACTAAGGGGAACCAGGAGGGGACCCTACTGGGTAGAGTGCAGACCAGGTAGAACCAGGCATCACACCCTGGAGTGGATATTAAACACAGGGTACCCTCCAGCGTCAGTGACTGATATATTGGAGACTGGGTGGATCTAAGAGAAATACATTGTACCCGTGAAACAATAAAAGAACAATACATACAATTTATAGTGCCATTAATTTTCGTGTCCTTCTCTTGTCTAGGAACCTAATACAATTGAATTTGGAACTCCAAGCTGCAACTGAAAGAGAAAAAGAGAAAAAGAGAAAAACAAATACAAAATTAGTCAAAAAATAGCACAATTAGATTTGCAAACCAGTAAACCAAGTACAGTGAAAGAGCTCGAAATTTTAGGCATTTTTGTCTTGCAATTACACAGAAATAACTCAAATGTCATGAGCTAAAAAATTCTGAATTCAAATGGTTGGAATTCCCGCATTTTTAATGAAAATGTTTGGAGTTGAAAAATTCTGAATTGAAATGTTTGGAGTGATGACATCAGAAATCAAATTTTCGAAGTGACGACATCTGGAATTCAAATGTTTGAAAAGATAACACTACAAATTAAAATGATTTAAGTGATGACATTCGGAATTCAAGTGTTTGGAGTGATGACATTTGCTATTCAAACGTTAGAAGTGATGAAATTCGGAATTCGAAAGTTTGGAGTGATGACATTTGGTATTCAAATGTTTGAAAGAATTACATTCGGAATCAAATGCTTGGAGTGATGACTTTCGGTTTTCAAATGTTTAAAGTGATTACATTCAGTATTCAAATATTTGGAGTGATGACATTTGGTATTCAAGTGTTTGGAGTGATGACAATCGGTATTTAAATGTTTAGAGTGATGACGTTTCGTATCCAAATTTTTTGGAGTGATGACATTCAGAATTCAAATGTTTGGAGTGATGACATTCCAAATTTTCTTTTTTCCTTTTTTTTTTTTTGATTTTTAGGACTTTTAGACTTTTGATTTTTTTCGATTCCTAGGATTTTTTACGTTTTTTAGTGTATAGATTGTAATATATTTGACACTGTAAAGCGCATTTGGCCTTTAGGAAAATGCGTGATAGAAATAAATTATTTATTATTATTATTTATTCCGAATTTAAATGTTTGGAGTGATGACGTTCGGTATTCAAAAGTTTGGAGTAATGACATTCGGAAGTAAACTGTTTGGAGTGATGATATTTGGAATTCAAATATTTGGAGTGATGACATTTGGAATTCAAATGCTTGAAGTGATGATATTCGAAATTCAAATGTAAATGTTGCGAATGAAGACATTCGGAAATGAAATGTTTCCAGTGATGACAGGATCGGAATAAAATGTTTGGAATGAAGACATTCGCAATTCAAATGTTACGAGTGAAGACATTCGGAATTCAAGTGTTTGTAGTGATGACATTCGGTACGTATTCAAAGTTTGACGTGATGACATTCGGAATTCAAATGTTTGGAGCGATGACATTCGAAATTCAAATGTTGCGAGTGATGACATTCGGAATTCAAATGTTTGAAGTGATGACATTCGGTATTCAAATGTTTGAAGTGATGACATTCGGTATTCAAATTTTGAAGGGATGACATTCGGAATTCAAATGTTTGGAGCGATGACATTCGGAATTCAAATGTTGCGAGTGATGACATTCGGAATTCAAATGTTTGAAGTAATGACATTCGGAATTCAAATGTTTGAAGTGATGACATTCTGTATTCAAATGTTTGGAGTGATGACAGTATCAAACGTTTGGAGTGGTCAGGTCAGCTGTGCCTCGCCTCCTACCAGTTTACAATGTAACCTGGTACAACCAGTGTCATAAGTTAAACTGTCTGCGGCTAAACCAGCAACTCCACCATAAGGCTTTGAGCCTGGGTATCCTGACAGAAGAGTACAACATCAGTCTTTAAAGTCCATGGTGGACCACCCACAGTTAGGTGGCCTGTGGCATCACCCAAGGCGGAGATAAAAAGACCTATCTGCCGGCCAGCTGATGCAGCATGGCATAAATGCCAGCATCTCTTGACAAGTTCTTGCCAAGTGGACTAGTAATAATTAAAATGCTTAAAAGGAAAAGATCAGAATTCCAATATTCCAATGTTTGGAATGAAAAGATCAGAATTCCAATGTTCATAAGGATAATATAAGAATTCCAATGTTTGGAAGAAAAATATCAGAATTACAATCTTTATAAGAACAGGGCCAGAATTCCAATGATGGGAATGATAACATGAGAATTCCAACATTTGGAAGGATAAGACGAGAATTCCAGTGTTTGGAAGGATAAGATCAGAATTCCAGTGCTTGGAAGGATAAGATAAGAATTCCAATGTTTGCAAGGATAAGATGAAAATTCCAGTGTTTGGCAGGATAAGATCAGAATTCTAATGTTTGGAAGTAAAACATCGGAATGTATATAAGGATAGGGTCAAAATTCCAATGTTTGGAAGAATAAGATCATAAATCCCATGTTTGCAAGGATAAGATGAGAATTCCAGTGGTTGGAAGGATAAGATTAGAATTCCACTGTTTGGAAGCATAAGATGAGAATTCCAGTGTTTGGAAGGATAAGATCAGAATTCCAGTGTTTGGAAGGATAAGATCAGAATTCCAGTGTTTGGAAGGGTAAGATTAGAATTCCAATGTTTGGAAGGGTAAGATCAGAATTCCAGTGTTTGCAAGGATAAGATGAGAATTCCAATGTTTGGAAGGATAAGATGAGAATTCCAGTGTTTGAAGGATAAGATCAAAATCCCAGTGTTTGGAAGGATAAGATCAGAATTCCAATGTTTGGAAGGATAACATGAGAATTCCAGTGTTTGGAAGAATAAGATCAGAATTCCAATGTTTGGAAGGATAAAATGAGTATTCCAGTGTTTGGAAGAATAAGATCAGAATTCCAATGTTTGGAAGGATAAGATGAGAATTCCAGTGTTTGGAAGGATAAGATCAGAATTCCAGTGTTTGAAAGGATAAGATCAGAATTCCAGTGTTTGGAAGGATAAGATCAGAATTCCAGTGTTTGTAAGGAAAACATCGGAATTCCAGTGTATATAAGGATAGGGCCAAAATTCCAATGTTTTTGGAAGAATAAGATCAGAATTCCAATGTTTGTAAGGAGTAGGGCCAGAATTCCAATGAGTGTAAGGCTAAGATGAAAAATTCCAATGTTTTTAAGAAAAAGATCAGATTTAAATGTGTGGAAGAATAAGAGCAGAATTCCAACGTTTATAAGAATAAGACCAAAATTCCAACGATTAAAAGCTAACAATAAGATGAGAACTCCAATATTTGGAAGGATAAGATCAGAATCACAATGTTTATAAGGATAGCGCAGAATTCCAGTGCTTGTGAAGAAACGATCAGAGTTCCTGTGTTTATAAAAAAAATAGGGCCAGAATTCCAATGCTTGGAAGAAAAAGATCAGATTCCAATGTTTGCAAGGATAAGATCAGAATTCCAGTATTTATAAGGATAGGGTCAAAAATCCAATGTTTGACAGGACAGGGCCAGAATTCTAATGTTTACAAGGATAACATCAGAATTCAAATGTTTGGGAAGAATAGGGCCAAAATTCCAATGTTTACAAGGATAACATCAGAAGTTCAAAGTTCCAAAGAAAAGGGCCAGAATTTCACTGTTTGAAAGGATAGGGTCAGAACTCTAATTTTATAAAAAAGGGCCAGTATTCCAATGTTTATAAAAAAAGGGCAAAAATTCCAATGTTTGAAGAATGGGACAGAATTCCAATGTTTAAAAGAATAGGGCCTAAATTCTCATTTTTAAAACGAAAGGGTCAGAATTCCGAATTTTATAAAAATAGGACAAGAACTCTGATGTTTGAAAAGATAGGGAAAGAAATCCAGTATTTGAAAAAATGGGTCATAATTCCAATGTTTATAAAAATAAGGCCAGAAATCCAATGTAGGGCCATAATTCCAGTGTTTGAAAGGACAGAGCTGGAATTCCAATGATTAAAAGGATAGGGCTGGAATTCCAATAATTGAAAGGATAGGGCTGGAATTGCAGTGTTTGAAAGGATAGGGCCAGAATTCCAACGAAAAAGGAATAGGGCCAGAATTCCAATAATTGAAAGGATAAGGCCAGAATTCCAATAATTGAAAGGATAGGACTGGAATTGCAGTGTTTGAAAGGATAGGGCCAGAATTCTGATAATTGAAAGGATAGGGCCAGAATTGCAGTGTTTGAAAGGATAGGCCAGAATTCCAATCATTAAAAGGATAAGACTGGAATTCCAATGATTGAAAAGATAGGGCCAGAATTCCAATGATGAATTTTTAGGATAGGGCCGCAATTCCAATGATGAAAGGATATGGCCGGAATTCCAATGATGAAAGGACAGGGCCAGAATTCCAATTATTAAAAGGATAAGGCTGGAATTCCAATGATAAAAGGATAGGGCCAGAATTCCAATAATTGAAAGGATAGGCCAAGAATTCCAATAATTGAAAGGATAGGGCCAGAATTCCAACATTATTGAAAGGATAGGGCCAGAATTCCAATAATTGAAAGGATAGGGCCAGAATTCCAACGAAAAAGGAATAGGGCCAGAATTCCAATAATTGAAAGGATAGGGCTGGAATACCAATGTTTGAGAGGAAAAGGACAGAATACCATTGGTTAAAAGGATAGAACCTGAAACCAATTGCTTGAAACAATAGTGCTGGAATACCAATGTTTAAAAGGACAGGGCCCGGAATCCAGTGTTTGAAAGGATAGGACCGCGATTCCAGTGTGTATAAAAATAGGGCCAGAACTGCAATGTATGAAAGAATAAGGCAAGAATTCCAATGTTTAAAAGGATAAGGATGGAAT